CAATTTTCACAAATCAAATTGCAGTTTATAGAAGCATTTAACAAGCTCGCGGTCAAAAAAAATCAAATGTAACAGACATTGCGAAGTGCCCAAAATTAATAAAATAAAAACTAACACCATAAAACGAATGGCACGCATAGACTAATAATTGACGGCTGTACTCGCAACTAGTATCGGATTGTCGATGCCACAGTAAAGATCAAAGGACTGTACGCACGCGCTATGTTCGAGAGCGGAGATGTGCGTCCTTTTGTTGAATTACCTTGGTAATACCACAATGTTCATGTTAGAATACATTCCAGCATGTGAGAAAATATTGATTAGATGGAAGTGTAGAAAGCCATAACTTAAGGTCACCGCATACAAATAGTTTGAGTACTACAGATCTCTTTGAATAATATCGATAGTGCATTTTTAGACAGTTGTTGAAATTAGAAAAATTAAATTGTTAGAATAAATAATGGTTTTGAATTAAGCAAATGGTGGGGGGGGGCAGCTATTGAAAATTATATCAAAGGGAGGAAGAGATTGCAGTCATTGACAGATCAGAATTTTTTTTTGCAGTTAAACCGCAGCAAACACAAAATGCTATTACAAAGTTCACAAATATTATGAATAGGTATATCACAAAATAATGTTGACACAACGTTTAAACATATTTAATTGTGAAATTACGCTCTAAATATGTACAGTATTTATGGTTCTTCAAGATAGTGTTTTCTACTGTACACCAAACTGTTATTTAAATTTTTTATAATGTAAAATTGTTAGCTGGGGTTGCAGGTTATCAATATTGCTCTTTGATTACAAATTTTATAACCAATTTTCTAACTAATTAATGATACCCAGTGGCGGATTCATGGAGGTGGGGGTGGTGTCAGCCAGGCCCGGGTCCTCTGAATTTTCAAGAAAAAACATTGGAGAAAGAAAAATGTCTCTGTTTAATCGTCAAAAGGACTTATACAGTAGGTGGAAATAAGTTTCACTAATTATGTAAAACGTTATTTAATTATCCTTGGTTCATTTCGTTCTCTTGTCTCTAATGAATGACGTCATCTGTTTTTATGATATGTTTTTATTGTGTTTTGAGATTGTTGTTCTTTTGCATTTTATTGTATTTTGTATTTGAACCAAATAAGTTCAATCAATCAATCAATCATTTCCGGCTATCTTGAGATGCCATAATCATAAATTTTCGCCATAAACATAGTGGGGCTGAACCAGTATTTAGTATTTACCCCCTATTCTGTGAAAGCTCTTCGCTGGGCCCCCTCTATATATCAAATTCCTGGATCCACCACTGATACCAATGTGCTTTTTCATTTAATTTCATTTCATTTATTCGTCTCAAAATACAATTCACATAAAATATCATACACAAAAAAAGACGGAGAGACAGGGAAAGAGAACTAAATCAACTGTCAAGTGGATTATCTAACAAAAAGACAGACAGCAGACTCAAAAAATATAAAAATATATGAATATAAATATAAAAAATCAGACCTTAAAATAATCTTTCAAGGCTTTATAAAAATATTGCTTTGTCAATTCAAAAGTAGTATGAAATACGAGGAACTTTATTGTAATCTCTCATTATAAAAACATTATAAATCAAAGTTGAAGTTTAACAAAAATAGGGAAAAACACTTATAAACATCACATACAATATACATACAATTTAAAAAGAAAAAGAAAATTATAATCATATTATTGTCAATTATATATATATATATATATATTATGAAAAAAGCGAGGTTCACCAGTAGGCTTGATTAGACATTTTATTTAACTGTTTAGTTTTGTAACACACACATGGTGTGCCACTCTTCGGAAAAAATTGAGTAATGACTAAGTACTGTAAGATACCAAAAGGAGGGTTAAAGATAAACTAAGCATGTGCAGAGCGAAAGTGATACATCAAAAGATAATATTATGGTTTTTGTCTAATTAGTTATGGTCTAATGAAATGTTTGTTTTGTTATTATTCATTCTGGTTTACCATCGAGCCCTCTGCCGACATTATTTGCGATACGTTCTACCGTCATATTTTCACTATAATATACTGTGTGTGTGTGTGTATATATATATACTGTATATATATATACATATATATATATATATTTACCATTAGACCATATATATAATTTATATATATATGTATGTATATATATATATTATTTGATTATTTATATCTAATAATGTATATAAAATTTTATTTACAATTATATAAAAAAAATATAGTAAACATTTTACAACAAAGAATTACAAAGGAATTTATGGGGAAAAAAGGAGGAAACATGAGTTACAAGCAATTGTTTTTACTTTCAGAAGGAATTGAAACAAATTGACTAATTGTCAAAATCAATATGGGCGTATTTTTATTAGGTGGTAGTGAAGATTTGATGAAAACATGAAGCTGGTGGTCCATAATAAGTCCTTCAGTGGTAAGCCAATCAATTTATTCTGTTTGAGTTCTATGTTTTTTTAATTTACATTTTATTTACATTATGTTTTTTTAATTTACATTTATATTAAAGTATGGTATATTCATTAAATTATTTTAAATTAGTCATGTTATGGTGTATGCTTGGCATATGATCATCCATACCTGCTTCCCTCCTTATACGATAAAAAGTAATTAATAATCACCTGGTTTTCACTAAGGCGCAATATTGATCATTTAAACAGAATATCGTGGTTTCACATTATTATTCTGGCCATTAAATCAAACAACTATTTAACACATGCTCAGATTCCTTGGTGGATCTACCACATCAAAGCATACTGTATGGGATGGGGGAAGGGAGAGTGAAGCGTACATGGGGAGCCACAATATAATAATGAGATGTATACAAAAACTTTGAATTTTTAAAATCAAAATTTAACATTTAAAAATGTAAAAAAAAATGCTATAATGCTGAATAATAATAATAATAATAATAAAATATGTCTGGCCTATTGTTACTAGTTTATTGTTAATTTAATTGAAGTTTAAAATGTCAATGAATATGATAATTAGCTCATAATGCTTGTGCTTGATGTTGCTGGCGATGACATCACCACCATATCATCCAGCATTGCATAGTTGAATTCCGACTGTAAATCAATGCATTGTGTATATACTCTGAGTGTACTGCATGTACACTATATTAATATTATAGAGCTCTGGCAATGACATCATCAGCCATTTTTAATTTAACCTTGATATAATGCATCAAAACATCTGGGGAATTTAGGTATAGCTGTGTTTGAGTATAGGCCCAAAAGAAAATAAGCCTGGCCTGCTTCCTGGCCTATCTTATTTTAAGAGACCCAATCATATTTTGATTGGAAATCACATGATGAAAGAGTCAGCTTCTTTTTAAAAAATATTTTTCACAAGGGTTACTTGATAAGATAACCCTATAGTGTAGCTTAACTTTGTGATGAAATACTGCTTTTATATTATGGGAATATTGAAGCTTCACTGTAGAGGGATTGCATACATTACAAGAATGCAAGTGATTAATAAATTAATTGTCTACTGGCATTTATTGAATTATTATTAATAATCGTTATTAAATTTATACTTTTCTTTTTTCTTTTTTTCATTATATTAATTAATTAATTATATATATATATATAATTAATTATATATATATATATATACTAGAAAAAAGGAAAGTATAAATTTAATAATGATTATTAATAATAATTCAATAAATGCTAGAGACAATTAATTTATTAATCACTAAACTGAAATATATAATATATATATATCACAGATAAACAGAAAATTACAAGGAAAAACCTTAAAAAATACAAAGAAAAAAACTTAAAAAAAAAACTTAAAAAAAATTTAATTTGGATCAATGCAAGAGAACATTACTTTGCAGTAAATATTACAGGGTTTTGATTTGACAAAAAAAGCACATTTCATTAAGCTACTTGGAGCAAATTATCATATTTTGTCTTTATGTTCCCAGAGGATGAATTAATTATCATCCCAAAAGAGTTCCCAAATGTCAAAATCGGAGATGTTCTGGAAATATTCAACCCAGAGGAACCAAAGACTAATAGGTATGTAAAAAGTATACTAATTAACATTGTCCTATGTTGTTAGAGATATAGTTTCTGTACATGTGGTTATAAATATGTAATGTAAACAATACTATATTTACAATGAATTCATTTTGTAGTAAATGTAAACTTAATGAAATTATGAATGAAACTTAATTAGGAAATGCTTTATTGAATGATTATTACTTACTTCCTCTGTATGCTTATTAGTTTATCTCAAATTCCTTATTTGGATTCAAAATTTCCTTATTTGGATCATAGAGGTTGGTTTTCTTTTTCTGATTAACATTACCTGTAAACCTTCAGAGGTTTAATTGCTCTAGGTCAGAACAAGGTCAAAGCCAAGTGAGTAACCAAGGTTACTGTTGTTATTTAAATATTCAAGGTTATTATATTAACAGTGACTTTGAAACCACAAAACAATTTTATTTATAAACAACGACTACTACATAGTAGACTCTGAAATTTTGAAAAGTAAATTTTGCTTTCTTTAAAAATCTAAAAATTTATACATTACAAGATTTGAACAAAATTTTGCAGCTTAAGTGTTCATCTTGCATTATTATATATATGTGCACAACATTAATGAAGCAGAAATAAACAGAGAGACAGAAATAGCATATAAATCGCTCTGAAAATTGATTGATTGATTGAAGTTTATTATCAATCAATTAATCATTGATTGTGATTGTCAGTCAATCAATCAATCAATGTTCCAAATTTATACAGTGCCAGAATCTACTACAAAAGATGGCATGCTCTCTGTGACTTTTACATTGTGACTCATCTGTATTTAGGCCATACAGTAGAATCGTTAATATTACCACGGATCCTATATATTGTGATAATAACTTTTATAGATCAAAACTATAATAATCATTGTTAAACCAGTGCAAACTAATTAACATAATAAAGAAATAGAATGTGATTGGTCAATTTACTAATGCCTCGATATAGATTTTAGTTATAACAACCTTATGGATGGTCCGAACTGTAATTGCAATGGACAGTCACCAAACAATCGATCGTTAAAATTCTGCTCAGAGTGTACATTCATGATTTTTGGCAGAACAACTCAAAGTGCGTTAAATTAAATGACCAACAACAACCAAATAAGGAGGGACATAAAACAAACCCTGCCAGGACCAAGGTTCTTATTAGCAGTATCATTAGTATTTAGAATGTTAGATGAATGTGAAATTCTAAGTCAGTGTGATCACGTTGGAAATTTTACACATTCAAATTTGCCCTTAGTTCTCAGAAGGTTAAGTTTGTCGGTTGTTATACTCACCTAACGTTTTAACATATCTAGCAGTGAAAAATCGTATTGCGAAAACAATACAATTTTGTATCACATTTTGGTGGATCCGTTTCAACTTGGAGAAATAGATGGTGGCGGTCCACAACGGTAGTTATGCACATATTTCGTATTTTGGAAGCTTATGCATTGGCCTTCCTATTAATCCATAGTAGAATTCTGAGTCTTGGGTTGGGTCTCTTATACACAGGGGTGGGATATATAATGTCACAATGTACTGATTTATTGTTTATCAAAAAATGTTTTCCAGTTAAAGAGCACAACTACAGGACCAGTGCTACTTGCTACAATATGTACTGTATGTGTATTAAAAAATCATCATGCATTTAGACAAAATTCTGCAAGATCATCAAAAGGCCAACGACCTAATATTCACTAACAAAACAAATCAAAACTAATTTAGCATGTGAGTTTCAATTGTAGCATTTCCTTTAAAAAGTAATAGTTATTGTAATAATAATAATAATAAACATTAAGTATTTTAACAATAATAATAGAAATGTATTATTATTATTATTATAATAATAATAATAGAAATGTATTATTTTTGATTGCATTTATAATGACTATACCAACATCAATTATTGTTTTTATGTTTAATTATATTGTAAATTTCAGATTACTTTTGCAAGTACGCTCATTGAACGGAGAATTGCTTCAAAAGCAGAAAGGTAGGAGCAAGAGATATGTGTGTGTTTCCTGTTAACGTAGTTTCTGATATAAGAAAGAAATTTGAGTGTGTTTTTTCAACTAATTTCAATATTGTAAAGCACTTCCTTCTTGTTTTTGGTTTCTCAGCAATTACTTATACAGTAGACCTATGTAACTATTTATACTCCTTTGTTAGGAAGACAATATAGATATATTGAATTTGTGTAAAATAATTGTAAATCTATTCATAGAATCGTTTGTTAAATATCAACTTGGAAAATTTAGATTAATTTTAATTAGATGCCATGTAGCATCACCTACCAATAGAAGGATTTGGCGATTTGCATCAGTCACCTAACTTGTGTGTTGGATGTAAAAAATCGACTAGCACTGTGGTGTTTTACATGGAGATTGCTTGTTTATTGCTGTAAATATCATAATTCCTAGTAAACTATACCAAATTGATTGGAAATTAAACTTGAGATGTTTGCCTTAATGGTTTGCTAATGCTGTAAAGGATACCGGCCGCAAACATTGAGATTTTTTGACAAATGTTAGGCGTAGGCGCCTGCACATCTACGGCATGGTTAGTTATGCATGATGGTCTTCGACCCACGAACTACGCTGTGATGTTAGTGCTAGCTAAGATTTATAAAGAATCACTTAAATTTTCAAAGCATACAATCCTTGGAGAATGCTAGGATAAGTAAATAAACACTATTGTGACCAATCATAATGACTTTCCTAGCCATTTATTTCACACCTTAACAGTGGGTGGTTGTTTTTGCACCCACAACATTATCTTTTCCTATACTATCGCACTGTAATGTTTTTCATGTATACCCAAGTTAAGTCACATGACTGGCTGTAAACAGACATCGCCAAATCCCTCTATTGGTCGGTACACTGAATGCAATCTTCTACTCTTTTCTGAATTATGAATTGAGTTTTTAACCAGTTATGTGCAGGACCAACAGCTTAACGTCCATCGGATTGGACGTCACACATAAGGCAAATCACTCATTGATGCACTACATTGTCCACGGCTGAGGGATACAACTGTAATGAACAGTGTTGGATTTGCACCCCACATCTCATAGTTTGTACCTGCCAACTCTCATAATGCGTGAGTCTCACGCATGAGCTTCCACTTTTTAATTAGTCTCATGCCTACGTTGTACAGTATTATCCTCACGCATCATAAAAATTTTATGATAAAATGTATAGGCCTAAAATTCATAAAAATTAAGTGAATTTGTCATTAATGTGCAAATACAGGCTATATAAATTTCATTTAACAAAACTATATTGACTATATTTTTTCTCACGACCAACTCCACTCCCTAAATCTCATATTGAGATTTAGTTTGTGTAAAGAATTGCGTGTGTATGTTTGTTTTGTGCAAGGGATTGTCACCTACAAGTAGGACAATGATGTATTTGCTATTGACAATTCTTGGTGCATGTGTTGTGTGCCTAAATAAATAAATAAAATGAAAAATAAGACGACGATACAAATTAATGAAGATACTGTTGATGAAATATTAATGACAAATAATGAAACAAGGCTATAAAACAGCAGTTCTGAAGTCTGCAGCAGATAACAGTATGGCAAAACTAGGGACATATGCTCAGATCTCTGTAGTATTCTGAAATTAGAATTTTCATTTTGAATTATGTCCAGTAGAACCCGGCAAAATATTTAATAGTGTAAAATAAAGACCTGCTCCCTAAAAATGTCTAATGGAATTGCTATTTCACAGCCAAATTGCTATGCCAAATTAAGTGAATAGTTAGGATGCCAGAGTTCTGGAATCAAACGCTGCCATAGCATGGAGCTCCATGGAGCTATTAAACAACTAGAGTACTGAGTAGGTGGAGAAGTAATGCAGAGTTGTTTATGTGTACCATCCAAGATGGCCGCCGTAGGAAAGCGCCACCTTCAGGCTTTATATAAATATTACAAGCCCTTTGACTAACTATTTTTTCATTAATCATTATTATTAATAATAATATTAATAAATTATTAAACTGTGGAGTATCTGATTTAAGAATAAAGTACTGAGGAATCAAAATCGTAGTTGTGTACGCTGAACCGCAACGCTCAAATTTCAACATAGCTGTCTTCAAAATTTTAATAAGTTGAGGGCGCCATTGAAACAATGCTTAGCGTATTATGATTGGCTGAATCTATGGAAGCCATTTTGTGTGGTACATACACACAGTTCTGCTTATTGCTTATGTCGAACATCGAATATGTTGGAGTTAGTGCTTTAGTATTCAAATTATAACTCTCTGGTTTTTCACACAACTTACTGTATATTAACTCCATTCCCTAAGCCTCATAAAGAGAAGTTTATAATCATTACTTCATCCTGTAGTTGGCAGGTTGCTTGCTGTTAAATTTTAGAAAAAAAATTAAAAAAACATACCTATGTCTAGGCTAATACCGGTTTTTTTATATACTTGAAATTTATGTGTAATATTGCTGGGTTTTTTTTATTAACAATGAAATCCATATGATGTTTTGACATTTCATTCCAATAAATTGACTTAAATTTAGCATGATAGAGAGGTGTGTTAGCTATGTTTTCTCTTATTGGCTGTCGTATTGGGAAACGATTACTTTCCAACCAATCAGACTGTGTGTCATAAACACACCTCCACTAGACTGCTACATTGCATACATAGGTGAACCTTTAATATTATTTGTCGATTTGTTAACAACAAAACATTAATACATATTGACTAAATTTCCTGTCTGTTATGTTTCCTCAATTTACAACATGATTTAATGTTTAAAAAAGGATTTTTACCTTGAAGTGTTTCTTTGAAGAAAACAGCGAATGATTAAGGGCAAGGCTGCATCGCTGAACATAATGATGTAGATAGAATTTTTTTTTTTCCCAAATGTCTTTGGTACTGCTGCTGCATAAGATGTGTGTAGGCCTACACTATATATTGAAAATGTTAGTGAAGAAAACAGTGGATTTCTAAATACTGTTGCATGCTGTTATTTGTAATGCAATTATGTACCCTAAAGACATCACTTCCTTGTACTCTATTTGACTTCTTCAACTTATGACATCACATGTGTAACGTGAGTGCGTGCTGTAGCTGCGTGCATGTACGCTGATTCAGTTTCCTTTTCACTTTTCTCATGTTCATCGTTATTTGTTCATTTCCTCGAAATCTCGTCAGTCAGCATTCAAATGATGAGTCGATAACTCAACGTAATTTCTATTTCCTAAACTTTCTCGGCTGGCTTTGTTTATGTGTGATGTAGCGTGCGTGATGTCCATAGTCTTACGCGTCATGAGACAAACTTGCACGCAATAGGATTGCTTGTTTATTAAATCTGAAACTTCATTGAATGATCAACATGGATAGTAATAGTGAGCAAGGTAAGTGAACTCCAAATATTGATTATACTATTAAAACTACCCTTTAGTATTCATATTATATTTCATATTGTGAGGCTTATGCATACCTACAAGAGAAAACAGTATTTTAATACATACAGAGCTTCTAAGTATAAAATAAAGTATAATAATGTAAATACAATAATGTAAGTGTAATAAATAAAATAAACTATATTTTTGTGTTGTCACTATAATCACTTTTTTTTATGAATCAAAATTTAAATTAAAGTTATAATTTTATAATTTCTAAATTTCAAGCTAAATTTTAAAAATTCTTAACTTGAATATTAGAAAATATTATTAATAATAAGGCATTGCTATTTGAAAACATAAAATTGTTGGTTTAAACAGTGGAGTATGCACAAATTTTTTGGATTGACAAAACTCTCAAATTGTATTAACCACCTGATCATAAATTAAGTGCACCCTTTGTTGTCCCACCAATCATAAATAATCTGTGTTGAGCCTCGATGATGTTATCGGCCATAAAAACGAACAATTTCTAGGTTACGCCATCCAATGTACTGCTTCAAGTAATGCAGCTTAGTTTAGTTGGCTGAACTTGTGGTAGCCATAAAGGGTGCAGAACTGTGGCAATGCTTATACAAACATGATCCCCTGTTCCATTTGATCAAGTTTCAATAGCGCACCATCCTCTGAAAGGGAGTGTTAACCCATTTGTCCCGTGTGAAATATGACCCATGTTACTAACTTTTCAGAAAAGACATCAAATTGTTTCTTGGTGTACAGTACTGCTCATTTCATTACCAGAAAGACCCCAATAATAATGGCTTCCAATTTTCTTGGGTGTACCTTGTGTTAACGCAAAAAAACAAAAAACAAAAAAAAAAACAACCCAGTCCGAGTTTAGCATAGAAAATATAAACATTTAAGCAGTTTAATAGTTAATAGGTTTGCTGGATTTGTACTTTTCAAGTAAAGTTAATTATTGGTTTTTAATTATGACAGTAGCTCTATCAGGTTAAGTTATGCTGGTATATCCTGTTTGTGGAATTTTGATCTACACAGGCTATAGTAAAATAAATCTAGAAAAATGCTCAAATCAATAGTTTTTAATATGTTTTATCACAAACTAATGATGATAAAATAATGTATGTATGTACGTATCAATCAATTTTATTAAAATTTTTTTTATATTTAAATTTTGTAATGATTTTTAAAAATGTTTATTTAAACTTATATGTCCTATTTATTTGCATATGATTTTTTAAAGCTTTTATGCATTTTTAATGTTTTATTTTTAATTATAATGTTAGTTAAGGAGGAGGCTAATGTATTAGCAGTTAGCTTTCTTTCTATGTGGCTATCTGGCCTCTCCAGCTTTCCTTCAAGCTTTCATAATAAACTTTAAAAATATCTAATGAAAAATAAAACAATTTTTTTTTAAAGTAAGTGGAAAGCAAAAGAGGATCCTGTGTGGAAGCAAACTAATGTTTTGTTTTTACTTAGCACAAGTTTTTCGTCGAAAAGATCGTCACATGATATGAACACATCACAAGGATAGGATTATTGGCATCAACCGTATTCAACACCAACATAATTAACAAAATGACTTGCAAACAATTCTGCTTTACAACAATTCTTTGCATTTTACAACAGTGTACACAGCTTCAAAACAACTTTCACATATTGAATCGTCAAAAAAAACTTATCAATGAAATTGGATGTTTCACTTTATGACGAGTTGGCTGGAAGCCAAGTGCGCGTGAACGTTAGGCCTGTGACTCACATCGGAAAATCGATGCATGTTTACGTTGTTGGCATGTACCGGTATCCAGGATGATATTGGCGTGGATAACAATTGTATCAATGATTTACCTATTGTCCAAACAGGATGTTGTAGCATTTCTTGCCAATATTTTAATTCATCGCAAACTTAAGTTTGCCTCGCATGTTGCGTTTCCGATTATGTTGTTATAGCACTAGATTATCTTCAGTAGTACCAGTCATATTGGGCATACACAGTCTATCATGTTTAGACTTATGTCTCTTTTATCCCCTGCATTTTCTATTGATTTTATAATTATAAATTATAATTAATATTGGTATAAAATTTGTTTTATTCATTTTTTTTTTATATAAGTAAAGTATTCTTAGTATTTGTTAACTAAAGCAAAATTTGTTAGTTTTTATAAAGCAACTCAATAAGCTCAATCACCAAGCGCATAGAGGTTTTTTCGCATGATGCGCTATACAAATCCAACTATTATTATTTATTATTATTATTATTATTAATTATTATTATTATTATTATTATTATTATTATTATTATTATTATTAAGTTAAGAGAATAAAAATAATTGTTTAGAGTTTTGGTTTAGCACAGTGTGGTAGGTGTTGATACAGATGGCGCTGTAAGCAGCTGTTGATTATGATCAGTTATATAATTTGTCCAACCAACTGGATTGCTTAAAAAATAGTCTTAAAAATGATTGATCTTAATTTCATGCAGTGATGAATTTAAGTAAACACCTTTGGTTTATGATCCCATTTGGGTTGAATTTAAGTAAACACCTTTGGTTTATGATCCCATTTGGGTTGAATGAACTGAAGTTTTGAGTATAATTTTAAGGTGGATGTTGGGGCTATCTCTAGAGATATAAAAGTGAAACTATGAATTACTATATGAACTTGAAAGCTGTGTATTTTCATTTTCTGTTATTTTATACATTTTGAAAGTGACTGTTTCTCGTGATACCTTATTATTAATTAATTGGTAGATGTTTTATGTGGCATTTGTTTCAGTGGTTATGTTAATTATGAATAATTGGATGTGACTGTCATGTGCTAAAATGTCGAATGAATGAACTCAAGAAGACATATTTAAAAACAGTACAAATGACTAAATTCTACTCTAAATATATATTATACAGAAATATTATCATCATTATTATTGTTTCTTCAGCAACATTAAAAAATGGCTAGTGGACAAGTAATGCAAATACCATGATACCATATCATTAATTAATTGGTAGATATTTTTTGTGGCGTTTGTTTCAGTGGTTATGTTAATTATGAATAATTGAATGCGACTGTCATGTGCTAAAATGTCAAATGAATGAACTCAAGAAGACATTTTAAAAACAGTACAAATGACTAAATTTATTAAAGTATTTTCTAAAAAAAAAAAAATTAACACAATTAGAGTAGTAAGTTATCCAAAAATTATTCCTGACAAAGGTTGTTGACCTCAATGCTTGAAGTAAACAGTTGTGAGTTGCTTAATTTGCTGTGGTTTCAACAATTTCCAAGTTTTCTTCACATCCTCATAGGCCATGCTTAGAAAGATACTAAATATCTGACCCTTATAGTGACACCAGTGATTGATTTTTATTTTCTAGATATCGTGAGCATTGAACAGAACTTAGTGAAGGCATTCCAGTTGAGGGCGTACCAAGATGTGGTGGTTAGGCCGGTGGCTGATCCAGCAACCGTTGCTCTTGACTTGGTTGAGCTTGTATTTAAAGATCAATATATTAGCAGAAGTGATATGTGGAGACTCAAAAAGCACTTGGTAAAAACCTGCTTTCTCACAAGTTGACATGTTGTTTACATTCGAGACCAGAATTCATCATTTTTATATGTTTTTTGACTTAGAGTGTTTTCCGGAAAAATATAATTTGGATTAAAAGTTTGATTCCAATAAGCATCAAATAAGTTATAACTTCTCATAAAACACAAGTCTTAGCAATAATCAATATATATGAACTAATAAATTTACCAACCAATTTAAGGGGCTTTTAATGAATATTGGGTGGATAATATTTATGAGTCTTAAAAGAGAAATATTTTTTATAAATATGAATAATAAAAAAATCACTTAAATATACCACTAAATTAGTTCAAAAATATAGTGTTATTTTTCAAGTTCATTAGCTTAATTCAATTTTGTTCAATTCACCTTTTATTTCGCATCAGTTCCATAGATTGTACACTCAGAATTTCAAATAAAGGCCAGTACCGCACAGTACAATTTAGTATATACAAACAATTCAAATAAATTAATATGGAGCTACAGTAAACATAGTTAGTACAATACTGTATATTTTAAGAATATAAACTTAATTCTTCAAATAATGCAAGTCAAAATGATGAAAATTTTGTGACAGACCATTCTGTTCTTGCAATATTAACATTAGCTTTTTCTTCCATTTTCTTAGCTTGGCAGTTGCTTGTACCTAACTCAGAAAATTGAGTTCTCAATGATTGGTGCACAGGTCAACGAACTTTGGGCCGTTGGTGAGAGGGTACGCTGTGGGGTTGTGGCTGCCAATACAAAGGTAGCGTTCCGTTCAGCGACTGCGATGGTGTTCCTGTTTATTCAAATGAGTCGCGAGATGTGGGAGTTTGACAAATGGGGTGAGTCATATAATGAGCCATTTCAAGCAATTTATGAAATTATATTTGGGTCAATGAATCTTTGACCTTTTAATAGCTGGTCACACCAACTAAAATTTTGTAGATTCTGAAGACTCAGTTTCTGGCCATCAAATCAACCAATCAACTAAATAATTAAGCAATGTATATCACATAGTGTTTTGAAGTGCTTAAGATTTTCTCTGTGTATCTCTGCTTTCAATAACTCTATTACCCAAGTATTATGTATGCTATGATATTATTATGCTAATCTATTTCTCTGTCATGTAATGTATGGTGTGGGAAAAAGGATAACATTTAGGGATAACCAATTTTACATCCAAAGACTTGTTTCCGCTGTGGTCCTTTTGGTGGTACAGCAGGTGAAATCTCCTGCTACTATTAAGCCAGGCACTCGCACCCCCCAACTTTTGTCGGGCAACGCAATTCTATGTAAAGTGCAACCTTATGACGCACGCACAACGTATCGTTTTTAATGACAATCCGTTAAGACCGCTACCGACAATCAGCAGACGTTGTCGCATTGTCTAATAATAATAATAATAATAGTGTAGTTTTATATAGCGCACAAATCCATCTAATGTAAGATGCTCAGGGCGCTTGAAATGTGGACTAGGAACTCGATCAATGACTTTCTTCGCCCCTAAGGGTCCCTTCGTCTAGTGCTCACAGATAGCGAATTGGGGTCGTCGTACGACGACCCCCAACTTCGCTTTAGCCTCATGAAGAGACATTTTTTAAAAAGCATTATTCCATCCTGCAATTGGTGAATTGCTGTTGGATATTAAAGAAATAAAATAAAAAGATTAGATCATGGTGGTACACTCACCCTAAAATCACAGTGTTTGGTACAAAGCTGAAAGCGACTTAATTTAATGTCATTGAGCATTTGTTTATTTCATACATAAGTATCATGTTATTTCCGTGTAAAGTAAAAAACGTTTGTTTTTAAAGATAATTATGCAATATTGAGTTATGCAATACAAATTGGAAAATGTATAATCCTTTACTCAGCAGACATGATGATATGAGGAATATGTAAGTCATTCTAAAGGGACTAATCCCTATCTGGCACATTTAACTAGGAATTAATTGGCTGTAAACCCAGAGGGAAATGTGTGCCAACCACCAACATAACTGAAGTACACCACTTCTAATTATATAAGACCAATCTTCTTAATGCACATTTTTTTTAACCTAACCGAGTTGTGGGTGTGGGGGGGGGGGCCTTGGCCTATCTGACTTCATCTGGAGATGCCACCGCTGAAAGCGAACTTTTATGTATGTTTTTTTCTATAAAATAAAAGTCAAATGTCAAAAGGAAGTCTAGGTTTTACATACAGTATATATATATATATATTCTGTGTTTACTGGAACAGTCTTCCGCCCCATAACATTCCATAATCAAGTAGGCGCATAGCTCTTGTTCCAATATTTGCATCCACACCTAGGCCGTATCTATATACTGTCTTGGTTTGGCATTGACGGTTCATTAGCGATGCTGCAGTTGAACGTCGGGCTAGCCTAGGCCCTGCTCAAGCTGGTCATAACGTTTGGTCTTCATCTTTACCCTAGCTGCACTGATGAGGCCTAGAAGGCCGAAACGGATCCGTCTGCAGATATTGGGATTTTTTACAGTGGATATTTAGTTTGTTTTGTCATTCTTGATCGGATTTTCTCTACTGTTCCGTTTAAACTTTATATTATCATTATTTGCATTTATGTGGCTGCTCGTTGTTTTTATGGGTTTATCCCATTTGCCATTAAATTTATATATATATATATTTCGGTATATTTTATTGAAAACAGTGAAAAACATGAGCATCATCATTATCTTCCTGTAAGCCAAGTAAAAAAATGTATATTTTTTTTAAAGAGATAAGGATGGGACTCTTCCTTTTTATCCATTAAATTAATTTCTGTATTAAGCAATTTATTTTAAATATCTTTTTCAGGAGAGTTTCCAGAGTGTATGAAGGAATGTCTTTCAGTGAACAGCAGAGGAAGGATATATGAGGACTTCTATCGGTATTTAATAATTATTTATTACATCATATTTTGTACATTAAGTTAAATTAATATTTCAAGCATCCTAATTTGACATATGCATCACCTACTGAAAATAGGCAACTTTGGTAGTCTGCTTCTCCAAAAGAGTGTGCCGTCTGTTATTGCTGTTTCTGTCGCTACTGCTGATATTTTGAAGCATAGGAGTACTGTAGGTGGTAATGTGGTTGCACTTTATAACTCTCACCCTTAAACAGCAGTAGCAAAAGAAAAAATATCTGCAATAATAATAATAATAATAATAATAATAATAAATTTCAAGTCAAATCATATTACATTTACGGAAATCTCTGTCTGAGACATGTAGGTTGCTTGAACATTTATCAAATCGAAACAAAACATACTCACCAAAACAAAGAGAATTTAAACGTCAGATATGCCAAGACTTATGGGACCACCATAAGTGCTGGGCAATCATGCAATCAAATTTTCTGGATGTCAACTTGATTAATTACTAAAGCTCGACATAATCCCCTACGAGATTCAATTTCGGAGGAAATGACAATGATGTTATAATTTGCATTTTTCATTTGAGGACGGGTTGTAGCATGCCAATTAAGATAATCGCTAAACACTTAATCCTGTTCGTTAAATACAGGTCAAATGCAGGTCATACACCCACAACATTATATAAGCGCATTTAACTGCTCAGATTTGTCTATCAATTAGAAGACGTGATTAAATTTAATCAGAATGCTGTTATTTAATAATATAATGCCTAAGCCTCGTTATTTATCTTAGCAAGAAAAGCATACAGTACTTGGCCCAGAGTGAAAAAATAATTTTCTTCTGAGCACTTTCCCAAGTTTAAATAAGAGAAGGGAGTAATTTTTCAATGATTAATTGTGTAATACAGTACTTTGTAGACTTAATGTCTGTGAATTTATTTTGCTATTACTATTACTTTACTATTATTTGTTAATCTTTAGGGTGATAGTTCAAAATGAAAGACACAGTGAATGGACACCACTTCTTGTAACATTGAAAAAAGCAATGTTGGAATATCCAAAATATGCAAAGCATAAGGAAATGGAAGGTAGAGTAACATAACAGTTCAACCAAATTTCTGGTATAACAAGTTTTAAAACAATATAACCTTGGTCCCCAGTTCAATCCCATCACCGCTCTCCTTGTGTCTCAGTCGGAGGGTTGAAATGCAAGTTTCATAGCACACCCCTTTTGAATGAGATGTTTAAGCCTTTGGTCCTGTGTGCAATATTGCACACGTTAAAGAATGCAGTACTTTCCTCAGAAATTTGAAGAAGAGTAGTGGATTATGTTCTAGCATACTACCCAATTTACAACCAGAAAGACCCACTGGAAATAAGCTTTCTGACTTTACTTTTTTGTGTTTTTCTTGGTGTATCTCACCAAAATAAACCAATCCAATCCAATAAGGCCTCTGAAGGTACAGGTCAATTTTTCATGTCAGCTAAGTATTTATTGTGTTGTTTTCTGGGAACTCATGTTGTAATTTATTCCTCCATGACTAATAAATTTAATTTCGTCTATACTCCATCCTTATTTTGATTGAGGCTCATGTTGTATTTTAACTGTTTTCCCCCAGATGGTTGTTGGCCGTCTGGTGTCAACTCAACTGCAGCGGAGGGTAACATGCTAGAAGCTATGAACATGTCCTTTAGCGGTAAGGCTACATTATTTCCTGTTCACCTTGTTAAGTAGCATTTAAATCAAATATTCCATTAAACCAATTTAATCACCATTAAACCAATTCAATCACATGTAATTTGTACATATTTTAGACTACAATCTCTAGGGTTTTTTGTGATTTTTTTTATTTGATAAATACCGGTCTATAGCCAGTGTCAATTATTATTTTTATTACTACAATAATAGTGTTGCTTTTAATATTCTTAATTATTAATATTTTTAGTCAATTTATTTATTTATTTTGTTTAATTTTTTTTTTGCAAGTACACTTGCCAATGTTGTATAAACTAAGGCTTTATTTAATTTGTTTTTCGATTTTTTTTGCAAGTACACTTACCAATGTTGTATAAAATAAGTTACTTTATGAGTTGTGAGAAAAAATCGTAGCGTAGGATTTGAACCCAGGACAAGCAAATATTTAACCACCAAACTACAGTACCACATTTTAATTGACTTAGCTTATTATATTTATCTTTTAATATGTTGCTTCTTTTAGTATTTGATAACCATTATTCAAACCGAAATTTTGAGAGGACTGGGCAGGTAGTTGTCATAGTAACACCTGGGGCAGGTGTCTTTGAGGTTGACCGTCAACTTTGTGAAATTTCACAAGCAAGAATGATTGATTACGGTAAGTTAAACTTTATACTAAATTTTGTATATAATTTATGTATATGTATATTATACTTAGCTGTTGGTTGTTGTCAAAATACACAAGTTTTTAGTTGCTAATATTGTAGTCCAAAGGTTTTACAGACTCATTTTATTTCATCCTCGAAGGAAAGTCCAGGGGCGGATTTTGGGGGGGGGTGCGGGGCCGGGACCAGATTGGAAGAAAAAAAAAAGAAAGAAAGAAAAAGAAAAAAAACGATCACCCAAAACACAAAAAATTTGCGGGGGAACGGCCACGGACCCCCGGCATTAGTATTATCTTGATCGGTCCCCCATCCCCCCTTTTGGATATCTCTGGATCCGCCCCTGAAGTTGTTGCTCTCAAAAACCAACCAAACAAATCATTGCTTTTTTATGTGTGTATTAAAGGCCATAGTCTGTAATGGGCAAATACTTCCTTATGATTTGGTTTCATATTGAAATATAATAATAAATATGTGTTTTCTCTGTTTTCAAAATGTATAGGTATTGGTAGTGATCTAGTTTGCCTGGCTGAGCAACCTTTGCATGCTGTTCCATTATTGAAGGTACATTTCTAAATTTGAATTTAAATTAATCAATAATTAGGTCAAATAAAAAATTTAATTAGTTTCTAATATTTTTTTCTTTTTGGTACTGCAATTTTGGAACTAACATGTAATATTTGACTAAAGATAAAAAATGGAAAAAACCATAAAAAATGATTTTAAAATTAACTTTCTCAGTTTACAGTAATATACAAATTATTAACTTGAGCATAGAAATTATTGAATTAAAAAAATGTGTACCCTGATATTTAAACTGAATAATTAAAATAAAAATAATAAAACACCTGGAAGTGTTTCTACTATTTTTTGCTGTAAAATGATAAGTAAACATTTTTTTAATACACTAATTTCTTTGTTTCAAGTTGATAATTTTTATGTTCAAAATAGGAAAGTAAATTTCAAAAATGATTTTTATGATTTTTTTTTGGTATTTTGCATTTGACAATACATCTTTAAGTTCTTTACATTTTATTTTAATTAATAAATATATAAATATGTTTTCTTGTTTTAGTTTTCCGATATTGATTCTCGTCACAATAAGAGTTATTCCGATACGTTCCACATTCCTCACTGGATTAACTACAGCTTTTATATTTCCAAGAGTAAAAAACGCTATGGCAACAGATTTGCTCCAAGGATTCTAATGCCAAACAGGATCACTAAAGTAAGCAAATGTCACCCTCTATAATGAAATGGAGTTTGTTTCAGAATTACTATCTGTCAGTTATAATGACATGATATTACAGTCATATTGTTTGCAGCCAGGCATGATGAGTGAATATTAAAGCCAGGCTCTGGAGGGAAAAGAAGTTTTGTTATGTTGTACAAAGTAAAAACTCAGCAACAGTTAATGAAATACAGATTTTTGAATATTTAAAAACAGGGGAAAAAGGGGAGGAACCACCATTTTTTCTACCTTTTCTCCGCAGTTTTTAAATGGTTAAAAATCTGTATCTCATGAACCATTCCCAACTTTTTCGTCATACACCCTTTTTGTTTTTCTGTTGTTCAACATATAAAGAAATGTTTTTCCTCTGGAGTCTGGCTTTAATATTATTAGTTTTTTTGGAACAACTTTTACCCAACCTTGCTCCCTAGGTTTTCACTGGATCTTGCCTATCTTGACAAGTTGATTGGCCGAGCGGTTAAGTCAGGGGCACCGTAACCTTCAGCTATAATATCGGCGTTGGTTCAAATGGCTCACTCGTCAATGGTTCCGGTGGTGGAACAAGTCTTCTCGGATAAGGACTTTAAACCGTAGGCCCAGTGTACGCATTTGGCTTGTGTGCACTTAAAGAACCTTTGAGAAGAGTAGGGGGTTACCCCGGTGTAATGGGCCATTCAGTCCCCTGTCGTTCAATGGATATGCCACGTAGGATAGTGATTAAGTTCACTAATTGGCATATCCTTGGTGCTCGTGCCTATAGAAATGAAATGAACATTCATAATTACTAAATACTTTCATAATCAATCAATCAATCAATCAATAATTCAATCAATCAGTTAATCAATTACATATAATAATAGAAACATTTGCATATTTTATAAATATAGGCATAAAAACAAAAATAGATTTTCTTAAATATTTAAATTGAGAATATATTTATTATAGTTGATAGTACTGGTACATCTAGGGCTTTCATTGCTGTAAAATATTATCTAGTTCAATTGGATTGGTCACAGTTTTAAACGATATCGATGGATTTTCTCTTCAGAGTTTTCAGAAGACACAAAGCAAGTATGACCTACCTCAGTACCTTGGCTTACCCAAAGAAATAATTGAAGACGATGATGGGAACTTTGACCTTTATGAAGAGTATGATAGTAATGTGTTTTCGGTGAAGAAGAAACGACATTGCAGCGCTTCCATGAACCCTTTCTCACCTGCCACATTGACGACAAAGCTCACACCAGATCGACGCAGATGGACTCATGTTTATCCCCATGGTAACAACAACAAATTATATTTATAATTTTTGAGCAAATATAGACCATATAATAGCATTCTTGATATTAGCACATCAAACAAATAGCACTCTGATTTATTGCCTGTGCAAAAAAAAATCCCTATTATAGAATGGAATCATCCACATAATTATTGTGCTATTGAACAGTAGGTCATTGACAGGTAAGCCTATATGTTTGCTGGGCTGTCTTCTGAAATTAATTAATACATAAAAGAAAAACACATATTTAATAGAAAGATAGATTGACCATTCTTCAAGGTGATATGAACATTGTATTCCAGTTGGTACAAAAATTCAGTATTGAAGCAGTTCAATCATAAAACAGCAAAATACAATGAATGAAAATGTAAAGGGAACCATAGCATCTAAATAGATGAAATTTATATAAATCAAAGTAATAAAACCTACCCTCTATAGAACACCCCTTTAAAATAATAGAATCATCCATCCCAAATATAATGAGGACAGCATATTTGTGTTGCATTTGATGTTTTTAAGAGGATTTTGTGGTATGTTGCTTAATCCACAGCTTTTAAAAAATCAAATTCAATTATTATTACAGGTCCATCTGGCGAAGTGATACAGTTCCAACATCAGGCAAGCAATGCTTCTCCATTACACGCATTTCGTCGACGGACAACCACCCAGACTTGTGATGATGGATACTCACAGCGCACCACATCCAGTGAATCCCTGTACACTGCAGAAGACAGTGAAAGTGATGAGTATGGTAAGAAACAAATTCATGTACTGTATTTATCTGAATAAAATGCTTTGGAAAAATTCCTTAAATGACAAATTTAACAATACAAAGTAAAGGTTAAAGGTTATTCATTTATATTGCACAAAATACGAGAGTCTATGTGCAGAACAAGTGAGCAGATGCAACTGGAAAAAAAAAGAAAATCCAAGCCACTACCCAAACCGCAGTATGGGGATACGCCCTCGTTTGTGAGCAGGGATCTATCAAATTGTACCCTGTCCAGCACCAGTTGAGTCTCGGCCATTTGCTCAACAAGAATTTTATTACCAGTAAATATTCTATAGTAAAATTTAATGACTGTTAAGTGGGTATGGGAAGTTATTACCTCTGAGAAGCATATTGAAGCCTGAAAACTGGAATATTATTATTATTTTATCATTATAGATCACATTACTTATTTTAATATTCAAGTTAATAATGTTAAGGTTTGTAAGTACGGAAAAAAGTAAATTCCCAGAAGAGTTTTAGTTTTTATTTATTTATTTAAACCTTATTTTTCAGACTCTCAAGCTCTTCATGATCGTATTGATCCAAAACGACGTATTGGATGTGGATGGGGAGTCACCGGGGAACAGGCTTTAACCCCCTTCACACTAACAGGTAATTACACAGAATTGTTCACATAGCATGTAAACTGGATGATTTCATATGGCTATGTGTCTTTTTATCAATGGTAATAATAATGACTGTAATAATGACAACCATCTTAGTAATAATAAGATATTGATATTGTCCAATATTTATACAAATAGGATAATATTACAACAATGTAAAGTATAGAATGACAATTTATAATATTTTTCATATTCATTTTTTTAAATTTTTTTAGATTATACTTTTTATAATTTTATGTTTTTTATATCTGAATAAATAAAAAAAAATTAATTTAGTTTTACCAATCTTTTTGACTATAGGTCTTGATCGAAAATCCCTCACAATCACTGCTTGTTTTCCAATCACAACCGATTTCTTTCCGGACAAGTGTACCCTAGAATCAGAGTATTGCGAAGGCAATTACTGTATAGCAGTAGATGACACCACGTCTATGCACAAGATGAATACAGAAGCAGTGTTTAAGGAGCTTGTCTCGCAGAGGCTAATACAGGTAAGCAGACGTTATTGTCATTATTTATTTTTTGAATAGGATTTATATAGTGCACATATCCATTTCAGATGAATTGCTCAAAGCGCATTTTCTCTGGTCATTGGTTAGAGAATTTATCTACCAGGTGCCCAATACTCCTCGACAAAGAGAGTCTCAAATGTATATGAAGTGTCTTACCAAAGAACTCAAACGTTGTGACAAGCCTTAACCAATGCATCATACAATTTACACTTCCATTAAGCTATTCGGGCTTTCAAACGAGAGGTTGAGAGTTTGAAGCACATTGCTTTTGCCACTAGGCAATTAGTACTGTATGTTGTTTTCCTCCACCCAGGAGTATAAATGAATGCCTGGTAGGAGGTGAATGGTTTGGAACAAAATTGTTAGGTGCTGAGCTTGTTGCATGAATAGGAGTACTTCACAGGGGTGGAGGTGGCTGTTTCTGTGTCCAATCGCCAGAGTAATAATTATTGTTCACGAACAAATAAGCACCACCACACTTTTTGGAGGCTTCAGTTTTTCGTTTAGATTTATTATTTCTGTGTATTATTTTTTTTAAGGATTTTCAGCTGGTTATTTCACCTGATGGAGCTGGGGATTTGCTATCTTTGTCTGGAACCAGAAATTCACTTGTTACAAATGAAAAGAAAGTAAGTTTTCTAATGTGTTCATTTAATGGGATAATTACAAAACAGAAGGCCTATGAAGAAGTAGAGGTTGCAATTTTTTAATGATTTCCGATTAACATGATCACCTATTAGTAACCTTACTAGCTAAATTTGTGTGATGTGTAGAAGGTTGCATGATCTAATGTTAATCAGTATACCCCACGACACAATGACATAATGATTTGGAAATTGTTGAATATTGGCTTTATTATGAATTTTGTAGCTGTTTTATTTTACCAAAAGTACCTGTAACTTATTTTTTTCAGAATCAGTATGTATTGAGTTATGGAAGTACTTTCCACAGTATCACACTAAGTCAAGATGGCAGTATAGATGTGGTCAGATATGTCCCCAGGTAATCAAAACATTCCTTCATAATATCTCGCAAATTTTTCAGTACACCACTTATGTTCCTTGGTGGGAAGTGCCTTGGCCAAGAAACAATTGGAATTCACAGCGAAGACTTGAATCTTTGACCTCAATTTTGATTGAGAGCCCAGATTTCAACTTTTACGCCCACCATTTATTATCATATTGAAACATATCATCCACCACCACTGGAAAATTACTCTTCAGACTCATGTGTACTCTCCTTGACACGTTTCACTCAAAAAATTTAAAAAATCGTTTGATGATATGTTTGTTGATGAGGGTGATTGTTGCCTACAATGATGAGTCAGCGTATTTTAAAGTTAGAGCTCTGTATGTTTTTGGCAGGAAACGGCAAAAGCTACCCGAGCTTGTGTACAAGTACCATTTGTGGCATCCTGGCAGAGACTGCTTCCTCTTAACCAATATGAAAGTGAGGCACAAACCAGTAGAGAATAATGAGTGGAACCATAGAGATAGCTATGTTGCCTGTCGAGGAACCCAAACATCAGATTTTGAACTTAAAGAGGTGGGTTTATTTTAACACTATAATTAACAAGGGTTGTTGATTCAATGTTGTTCATTCAGGAAGTCCAATGCTTTATAATGATAATGATGTAAATGATAGTGATATAATTATTATATAAATAATGATAAAATCATAAATGATAAACAAAAGTTGCATATGTGGGTCGAGTTGCCAAATGGTAGTGGACAAGCCTTAGAATTGGCGCTGGTTTGAGACGCCCTTCACCCAGGGTTTGAAACCCATTGCATCTTTTAAAGGAGTAGGGTGTTACACTATACTATACCATTTCACCCCGTCATGGAGTGATGTAAACATGAAGCTACTGAATGCCTCTCTAACAGTTGCTACAGTAGACACAGACTACGCCCATATGCTGTTGAACACAATGATGCTGCAAGTTATGGGTTATTATTCTCTTAACTTTATAAGATCATTTTGATAATGATAGTAACTTTTTATATAATAACAATTAATAATTTTCAATCATTTTACTGTACCAATCCTTCTTTTTCAGTCTTTAAAGTTTTGGCGGAGTCGATTCCTTCTGCTTCCATCACCTGTTGCATACATCAAGAAGCTTTCCAACAGCTCCAACAAATTTGATGTTTTTGAGAAGTTAAAGGAGAACCAATGTCAGCAGCTCTTAGAGGGATTCATAAGGTTCATTGAAGGTCTCAATCGCATAAGGCGTCCTCAAAGATCAGGACGTTCAACGGTAAGACAATGTTGTTTTGTTACATTTTGCTTTATGTCTGTAAGCAAGTAGTCTGCCAATTACTGGGTCGATCTGGATAATAAGTGCTGCTCATTTTAAAAGATAATGTGGTGGATCCAGAAATTTGAAATAGAGGGGGCCCAGGGAGGGATTTTTATGATATTTCTTCTATGCCAGAAGAAAATGCATGATTATGAGCCGGAAATGGCACTATCAGACCTTTCTTCTAGATTTATTTTCATTTTTGAAAAATTTAGGGGTGCGGGATGGCTGGGTGCGGGATGGCTGGCTTTGCCCCCTCCCCCTTGAATCTTCCACTGGATAATACATTATTAACTCCCAATTAAGTCCAAATTGGCTAACTTTTATTTTCACCAATTTAAAGACTTATTAATTTGTAACTGTCTATTCAAAGGAATATAGGAACAAATAACACCATAGTAATACCATACAAAAATACATACAATTGAGACCAGACTTAATACTATTCAAAAATATAAACAAGACAAAAAATAATGTATGCAAAAAAAACAAAAAAAACAAAAAAAAAAAAATATTGTATGTGAATGATCAAATGATTTATTTTTAATTTGTCAGAGAATACATTCCAAAGAATATCTGACATCACCACTGTCACCATTGGGAAATAAGTGTCAAAAGGTAATGTCCAGGAACAGCTCATATTCAGCCATTCAAGATGCAGAGGTAGTAGAAGCCTCACATGGAACGTCTAAGCAGAATTCACGCCAGAACTCTCCCACGGTATGTCATTTGATTTTGCATGTCGAGTCATGTTTAAAAGTATCTACCTGTAGTGTTTTGAAGCATCTACGTGTGTTTTGATAATGTTTAGTCAATTTTTATCAGTGTTTATTATTGTACGATCATCAGTGTATATCAGTGTTAAGTGTTTCACTGTTATTGTTTTAACAGTGTTCAATAATGTTCAATCACTGGTTGTAAGTGTTATTGATGTTCATAAATGTTTAATAGTGTTTATGGTGTTTATATATGATCAGTCAATTTTTATTGCAGTCATTCTTTTCATTGAACTTTCATCAATATTCAAGTAGTGTTTATTGCTGTGTACATAGTAATGATTACAGTGTTTTATCAGTGTTCATGTCAATGATTCTGTTTATTAGGTGTTTGATCAGTGTTCATTAGTGTTCTATCAGTTTTTTCCCCTAATGGATTAATACCTCATAAATATTACATGATTGTTGATTCTTCTTGTTGATTTACGTCACAGAAAATTGCTTACATTACTTATATTTTCTGTAAATGAAAGAATCAGTCATTTAAAATACTGCAATCACAATCCTTTTACAGAGGTTAGGCCCACAATTCGATACTAAGAAACTGTCTTCTAAAGGGAGTGGTTCTGGTTCAAACACACCAACGAGCCCTCATCCATCAGCTTCAACTGAGCAGTTTTCTCATATGGTAATTAATGCTATTGAACATGTAGCACATCAGAGAAGAGATAATGCAACATTGAACTCAACAGATAAAGAACTGATCACCTTAAACTCATCAAATGATAGGATTATTATGGCCATGAAGTACGGGAGGTGAGTCAGTTGTAGTGTAATGTAATGAAGATAGATTTCTTTAGCTCTTTATACCGAAATGGTCTCAAGCGCTTGAGGTGTGGACTAGTTCTTACAGTAAATTGCTCCACCCTTAAAAGGGTCTCTTCATGTCTGAACTACCCGGTAAACCAGTAATAGGTAACCCTCGTCTATCTTTTTGGATGTTGTTTATCTAGTTTCCGCTCCTCCAAATTTCCTCTCCTCAACGTTATGTCCTTACAGTTTGTGTGCCCTTAAATTTTGATGGAATTGCAAACCTTAAATGCACCCTCTATGCATAATCACTATATCAAACATAAACAAATCAATTAAAATGTTCTAAAAATTTCCTTCGAAAAAATAAGTTGTATTTTGAAATCTTTTTCTATTTGTTCCTCAGAGATAAAATGAATTTCTTGCCCGATTCCAAGAGACAACCTTGTTATAGTTTTATTGCGGCGGAAGCAGTGTCCTGGCTCATGAGCGCATTAGAGGATGGGCCATCATTCTACAAGGCCATGAATAAGATGCAGGTCAGAAATCAAAGCTAAACCAAAAATATTTAACATGATACTACATAAATTCTGTTACATATTTCTGTTTCATTTTATTGATTTACACTGTTACATATTTTTAATTATTATGAATAATCATGAATTGTTATTTTTGGTTTTGAGAAGTTTGGCCGTCCCAAGGCAAAACAACGTAACTGCTTATATATATTTTACGTTGTTTTGCCTTGGAACAACCGAGTATTGAACTGTCTTAAATTTGAAGCAAGTAGTTTGTTTCTTCGAGATGATGCAGTAGCATCAGAAACGACCCTTCTGATAGACGAGAATAACAGTCACACCAAACACAATTTTTGTTTATCCATGCGTTGCTTAATGTCTTGTATCATCGGGAAAGTGATTAAACAAATGATTACTCACAGATTTGATGTTACAGTATGTGAGATAGTTGTGATTCCCAGTAATTTGTAGTGCCTCTCTTGCCACACTTATGAGATTCGCACTTAAGCCTCCAAAAATGCTGCTTATTTGATTACTTTTATTGTACATTTACATATTTTTGTTATTTAATGAAATAAAATATAAATTAAGCTAATTTTTTATTGTATTTTTCCAAATTTTTTCCAGAGTTTTCTTGATGATGGGATAATTTCCAGCATTTCTGGATCAGAAATGAAATGTTTTAAATATGGATTCTATATTTACTATTTCAACCAAGATGAGGACAAGAATGAGAATGTATTGAAGTTGCCATGGAGACGGAAATTATCTGAACCTCTTGGGATTGGTCAGCATGAACGCAATTGGTTTGAAGTTTCATTTGAAGAACAGAAATGGTGTAACAAGAATGAGGAGCTGGGAGAGGGGGGCCCATCTTGTGATGATGGTAAGGAGGAATTAATTGTTTGCCCATTTTGTGTGTTTTTTATTAATTGAAAAACTGAAAGTGGTGTGTATTGGCATTTCATTTCTTAGTTGCTGTTTCAATAATAATATAAGGAATATAATAAGTAAGCAAATAATATTGTTGGTGGTATTTTTGTTGTATATATCATGAATACTTACCTGTATAAACTGGTAAATGCCAAAGTGTTCTTTGAAACTTACTCTCTAGCATAGAAGAAAATAATGGAATCACCATAGCTTTCATATAATACACCCTGTGTAAGTGAACAGCTTTTTTGATGCTTATTGTCCTTGTTATGTCCAAATGTTTATCAAATATTCTGTAAAGTAGTAGCTTAGAAAAGTGTTCGCTTTGTTTTGTTTTCAGATTGTTGGACACCAACGTATAAGAATATAACTCAGTCGATAGACAATATTGGGAATGACAGGTTAGAATGGTATCATGTTGGTTACCATAGCAAATACTGCCCATCACAAGCATTTGAGATTGAACTTCAGTGGTTAGTGTGCACCCCAAGCTTACTCAACTACCAGGTAAGAAAAAAAAGTGAAAATTACTCTATTGAATATAGCTGTCTTCAAAAACAGGTCATGTAGTATTTTTGCATTAACATACTGTTGACTTTTTGCAAACTTAAAATTTTACAACTCAAATTATACTTCAAAAAAGCACCTTAGTATTAACATTAATATTATGATAATAAAAAATTACAGTAACGATTAGGAAAGTGCATTTTTTGCCCGCATGTGACACGTTCCACATCCACCAACTACCCACGGTGCCAGAGGTCGAGAATATAGACAGAACATGACGTTTTTGTTGGCAAAATGTGTTGCGGTGCCTGTAGCGCTCACATTCTGGACTATAAAATTTACAAAAATACTATTATAGTAAGCAAACATCAGTTAGGCCCGAGTGCCTGCGGTCTGAATACTACAGTATGCGAAAAATGTGAAAGAAAATCTTCCCTGTGGGGCTGAATTCTCTGACTTTCTCTGCGTCCACCACCTACAGTTTGTCTACGGGTAGAAGAGGTTCACTTACCTGCATCGACTGCCCACAGTTTGCCTGTGGTTGCTGCGATCTACGAAAGGCACAGGCCATGGTTGGCACTGTACAAGAAGTGCTCTAAAAAAACATGATTTTATTTTATTAACAGGTGAAAGAATGGGCTCGTAGGGCATCTTCCATTGGCTTCCATCTGGTTCCTATTCTACTGGATCCCTTTGGATTGGATACGGACAATAAAGACCCTCTTCTTTCTCCCATATTTATCAAGCTTCATACAAATGCTTTGTCACCATCCAAAAACAGTCATTCACAAAGAAGTACTGGTCAAAATGGCCATGTTGACAAAGCTAGTGGTCACCTTGAGGAAGCCAATGGGCATAATGGCCATCTTGATCAAACTGACCCACACGAGAAGATGAAGCAATTCCAACATCTCATACTTGAAAAGTAAGTTTCTTACAGTGGTATCAATTCAGCCACTGCATTAACAGTATTTACAGATTCCTGCTGTAAAATTTGTACATTATATACTGTACTTAAAGTAATGATATAGCGTAATATGGTATAGCTTTTCTGTGCATTCACAGAAACTTTTTTCCATCAATTTTTATATAGGCTATTTTTTAATTGATATTATTATTATGTAGGTCATAGGTCAAATTTTATACCCCTGAGACTTACAAATGACATTAGGCCCAATTAAATGATATATTAAATTGAATAATTGATTTATATCATTTCTTAACAGATTTGGGTTTATAGCCGATATTACAACGATCAGAAGTCCGTTGACCAACAACACCGGTAATGATCCTTACTCTCTTAAGATCCACCAGCAGTACGTTCACGTTACTGGGATAGCTGTTATCATAACGTCACCATACACTCAAGAATGCCTGGTCAATAAAAATACTAACAGCAGTAATAATAAAACCAAACTTAGAAGACATAGTAAACCTGATCAGATGATGGACTTTGTTCACACGCAGACTGAACTTGGGTTCATGTGGGTGACCAATCACACGCTTACGAAACGCTGGAGGTCAACCAGTATAACTGATGATAAATTTGCTGATCACCTATTGGCTGATCTGAAGTCATTCTGTGCGAATCAAAACAATCGTCTCACAGATTTTTGGAATGAGATAGAGGAGATGGCCTGCAATAATAATGCTTAAAATTCCTTTCAAACAAAGATAATATTGAATATTATTTTAAGATTATCTATAATCTATTTAAGGTCAATTTTTTTTATTTAAAACAATCCAAATTTAACCAAGATCATGAAAGCTTAATTGCAATAAAAGTAACGATTATATATAGTATCATGTAAATGAATATTATATGGATATTGTCTCATAATATGGCATTCTGTGGTTTTTAAAATCATGGTGATAAATTTACGCACAAATTTCTAAAAAATACCCCAGGTGATACAAAGGTTTAAAAAGTGTTATTTACAAGATATATTTGGTTAGGTTCTTTTAAGATGCATCTGGTTTTAAATCATGTATATATGTGCTTGGATGTACATTTCTATAACAAAGACTTAATCTAATAAATAATCAATAATATTTATTAAATATTTCTATTTTCATACTGGCCTATTATATTCAAAGTGTGCCCAATCTTTTTTTTTTTTTTTTGTTAATTTACCATATACAAGTAATGCACAAAATTAATTTGATTTAGAATGTAAAATAGAATTGATTGCTTGAAGTGACTGATAAATATTTTCATTTCTTAATATATTTATACTGTTTTCCCCCAAAGATAAATTGGTCAGGGGAAGGTGGGGGTAAAACTAAGAGTGTTTAAGGAAATGACAGTGTTTAGTCAGTTCTATTTGTAAGTACAGTATGTTATTAAGAACTTTTATTTCTGTGTTATTTTTCTCAATTTATTTTTGTTTTGCTTACATTTGTGTATTTTTGTCTTATTACCATTCCAGATTATGTTATCATTGTTTTACATTCATTAATATAAATAAGTTGGTTTTATTATTTAAGTAGACAAAGTACTAATTTATTTGTGTAATATGTTAGCTCTGGCAATAATGATTGTATGTAGTGTGACAGCAGGGACATATTATTGTACACCTGTTTAGCAGGGGTTGAAATCCGCCGTATGAAGAAACAGCCTCTTTAACCGATGATGTGGTGAGGATAGAAAAATATAAACTTTCCTTACTATTCCTACTGTCTGAAAAGATAGATTTCAAATGGGTCGATGTAAGTATATTTTTCTGTAATGATTACTCAAACTAATTTCTTTTAATTCGTAACATTACTTTTACAATCCTTATATGAAAGAAATTGGCAAAGTATATAGCGTTGTTTTTACAGGGCACAGGTTTGGAATGTTCCATTATGTTTTCACAGAGAAAATAAGCAATATTCTGTTTATTCATGTATCTCACTCATTATCATCGCTACTGATTTGTGCAGGCTATGTTCAGATGCAGGGATCATGTCATATGCAATTTTCAGTAATCTCAGTGTACATATATTTAAGGGTCATCCATGTAGAGATTGCCATATGCTTGCACCAAAATTCATGCACTGTGATTTAGAGTCATGCATGAAAGGATTAATGATCATGGGTATTTTTTGTACTTGCCATATGTGTGCCACTTTCTAGTAGTAATGTTTGTTGTCCTTCACACCTTTCAAAAAGTGTCTTCCATCCATCAGTGCAAATTTACTGCCTTTTTGATGTTTTTATGTAATATTGATTTTTACATGTCCATACAATTATATATAAATGTGTTTTAACATGTACATCATATATGGAATTTGTTCCAAGAAACTTTATATATGAAAACTTGTTTCAAACATCTGCATATATGAAATTGGTTTCACACATCTACATATATGAAATTTGTTTAAACAGCTACATATATGAAATTTGATTATATAGTTTTTTTTCCAAACATCCACATGTATGTGGAATTTGTTTCAAACATATATGAACATGTTTTTCAAATGCAACATGTGTGGTTTCAAATGTAAATTGAATTTGCTTTTAAAATCTACACATATTAAATTTGTATAAAGCTCCCACAAACATTTGATTTAATTGTTTTAATCACTTGGAAATGGAGGGTTTAATTATGCGTAACTTGCCCACTTGAAGCTTACTTGCCTTCAGTTTAAAGATATACCGTCTTTTAAGCCGGGAACTCACTGAATAAGTAGAACGCAGAGCTACGACGCGCACAACGGATCGTTTTTGATGAGACGATCCATTCAGACTGCAGCCGACAATTAGCAGACGGTGTCGCGTCATCTGGCGCTCACAGGGAGCTGAGTTGAATTTGTCGTATGACCATGCAACACAGTGAGTGCCTGGCTTTATGTCCAAACAAAATTTATAAATAAATTTTGAATTGCTATCTTCACAATCTACGTTCAGACCCGCGAGATACAAGATACACCAGGCAGCATGTTAATCCAAGGCATTTCTAGCGAGATGTCCAGACTGGCGAATAAATAACGCTAGCGTAAGTATTCGCGCAAAATATTCGTATTCGTCATTTTATATTTGCACATTTTATTTCCTGTTTACATCTAGGCCTAGGCTTATTACATGTGATTGGTCAAATCCTGGCCGAGTTCAAAAGCATTGATGCACGACCGCCGTAAGTCTGTGGCGTACGCTAACCTGGGGTATGTTGGTGGATTATTGTACGCCAGTGATTGCGCGTTAATACTGGCGTTCGCACAAGTTCACACCACTCAATTAACGTTACGCTAGCGCAAGTCGTCGTGTGTGAACATAGCCTTAAGCTCTGTTCACACTCAAATTTTATGTGACAAATTTTGTTGATGTGCCCATATATGGGCATGGTGATATATGGGCATATCACATTTTTTGTCACATAAAATTTGGAAGTGTGAATAGGCCATTTTAATCCTTGCATGAGATCTTTAAATTATATATGGTATTCAATGGATTTTTGTGATACAAATTGTAAATCCGTGAAAATAGCTGTTTTCAATTAATCGTCTGTGATCATAAATGAACAATGCAATGTTTCACTGAATTTTTTCCCCAGTGTTTTTTTTTTGTTTTTGTTTGTTTGTATCATAGACGGTATATCTTTAAAAGGTTTAAATTGTATTATAGGCGTCTCGAATATGCATTACGTATGCAAGTAATTCATGTTTTGTATGTTAATAATAGGTTGAACAATGTGGTTATATAGATATTAGTAAATTTGCTGGTAATCGTACTGTAGTTTATAATGAGTAAGAGAAGTTTCAATTTCGTGGTAGTTTATTTATACTTTACTTGTAATTTTTTCGATCAGTTCATAAAATCTTAACATAATAAATACTATTTTACTAATTTATTATTTAATTGTATATATGATGTATTTACACAGTAGATAATGTACATACACTCAATTTTGTATTCAAGAAAAAATAAATAAAAAAACAACGATTATTACTACAATAACTACGCCTATTGTTTACAGAAGTGTTTCTTATTAACAAATAACATTTTCCTACAGTTTCAGTTTGTCATTAAAATTGATACTTTTGAAATACTGGCATTCATTGTCTTTTCTAATAGTTTCATATTTTGTTGGTTTGATATTCATTATCATAAGAGCTAAAGGACCTTATTGAAAATGATGTAAGTGGAGTATCCCGGGTTGTTTTGGAATAACTTTGTGAATACTGTACCAGGTAATTGCACGACAGTAATCGTATTTTATACTAAGAACTATCCCGCTTTTACTTCAGACTGTACAGGGACAATTACAAGAAACAACATGGTATTTTACCAGGCAATAAAACTAATACGATGATGCCTGATTACATTAAGTGTAAATAATTTGTATACATCACAGGTTTCAGATCGTGATCAAGAAAGAACCAAATTATCATCTCCAATATTTCCTCTACCATTCTATTACCTAGTGCTATATTATCTTTTTTCCTCCTCTGAGAGGTAGCTAGCGCCAGTATTTAACTCGGCCGATGGATGGGTGTCGTCGTCCGATGTCCCCGACGAGAGCGAAGTTGGCGTGGTCGGGCATCGCTCAAAATCTTCGGAAGTGGCCAGGGGTTCAGCCTCCGAAAATTATGACAATTTAGGGGTTTCAAAGGCTTATTTAATCGATTTTAGAGGCTCATGCTAATATGTAAAAAATACATGGTTTTTTCCCCCTCCCCCTCGTATTGAATTTTGTGTAGAGACTCGGAATTTGTTACTCTATTGGCCCTATATAATAGGCATAATCTGTTGGCCCTATATAATAGGCATATTTACCGATTTCACTTATCTAGTCCATCACGTCCTTGCAATTTCATTAAGCCTAAGTTTTCTATAATTCATTCTCATCACCATCATTATAATCATCATCATCACACGTCAGAAATTAAAAGAGGGCAATAAAGTGAAAAAAGGTGAGAACAAGTCCTGTCAAAAGAAAGTGAGTGAAGAAAATAAAACCACTAGCCTTAAGACTTACAAGAATAGAACTAGTAGGCCACTCTGCATCTTAGTTTTATTTAGAGGGTACACCATTAATTACGACGAAAGAGAATGCCTTATAGACCGGGCAATGACAGTATTTTCGAAAAGAGAAACTTTACCCTAATGTTCTATAAATGTATTAAATTACTGTATAAGTAGGGCCGGATGGCGTGCATTATTCGATACTTGGAGTATAAATTATACTATCTTATCTTTATAGCTGTTTAAGTTTTTCTGTTAAATTGTACCATTGTAAATGGTAGGAAAAAAGAACAAGAGAATAAAATAAAAGTATGTAGATATAGAAAAATGGGAAATAATTCTTTTTTACCTGAACAAATTGATATGTAAGTTTGAGAATTGTAGATTTTGAAACTTCCACTAGGCCTATTATTATTATTATTATTATTATTATTATTATTATTATTATTATTATTATTATTATTATTATTATTATTATTATTATTATTATTATTATTATTTTATATATAATATTTAAATTATGTAATTAATTTGATTTTTGTTGGTGTTGACGTGTTTATGCCAGATTCAAGAAACATTTCTGTTTATGTATTTTTATATGTGAATAGACCAATAAAGCTTATCTTATCTTATTTTATTGACAATCGACAAATCGCGCTCGTTACAATAATGTTTCCGCCCTCTATAGTTCACAAGAACTTTTACTTTGCTGTTTGTTTACTGGTTTTGGTATCCTTGCGTATGGCGCGAGCACCTGATCTTTCAAAAAGCAGCAGAGCTTGAGAACTTGGTGAGGCTAACAGCTTGTGAGTACAGTAATTCAAATCCTATTTAATTCTAGTTTTATACAGTACTTAACTGTGTTACCATTTCAGTCATTTTGAATCCATCTTTACATACTAGCCGAGGCCTGTCGGCCAAAATCCTAGTCCTCCTAGGCTAGGCTAGGCCTCTCATTCTGGTCCCTTGCTTGACCTTAGTTAGAGAGAAGGCTGGCCGACGGATTAATCAATCAAAGAAAGTTGGAACTTATATGACGCCTAGCCTAGGCCTAAGTATGTGGTGTTTCGGAATGTGGGAGGACGGGTGTTGTTGGCTGTGTGTATGTGATATTACATTTTAATTTACATGTTATTTCAAAAACCGTAATTTGTCTAACTCACCAGGGGACGTCCCAGGTTCTCGGGAGTCGTGAGGTTCTCTTTTTACTTTGGAAATTTATTCAACCAGAAAGAATAGGTCTAGCTAGGCCTAGTATCCCATTCCCATCCATGGGAAAACAATAATCTCTTTTAAACACAGACTACAACAGTATTAGCAGGCTGTGGTTTTTCCGTTTACATTAGGCTTATTGTGATTGGTCAAGTCTTGGCCGAGTTCAAAATCATTGATCCATGACTGACGTAACACTAATTTGGGGTCTGTTGCTGGATTACCGTACACCAGTGATTGCTCTATAATACTGGCGTTCTCTACGCTGTGCACAAGTTCACACCACACGATAACGTTATGCTAATGCTTGCCATGCTAGTCGTTGTGTCTGAACATAGCCTACGCCATTCTTGATATTTCAATAAACGACCCTTAAATATCTTTGAATATTCATTTGTTGTATTCATCAACAATTTTTTTTCTCCACAGCATGGCTTTAAGAACTCATTCAAAGTATTTGTTGTATGCCAAGATGACACCACTATTTGGCATCATTATGATATCCCCCTGATGTTAAAACTCATTAATGTGATGCATATTATAAATACAGTGATAATGTCATGTCTAAAACTTTGTAAACTATTTTAAGAATGTTTACCAACTTCTTGATTGGTTGTTTACCTCTCATGGGAAAAGGAGGATTAGAACATTGTATTGGGCCTAGGCTAATTTGTGACAGTGTAAACATAGACATGAATGAAGGATATTTTCCTTCTAGCAAGACAAGTGTTAGAATCTTAGTGGTATGTTATTCAACCAATGGATAAGGACGTGTACGCCCTTGAGTTTTCAATCCAAGATCAGCGTATTGATTTCTTTTATTTTATTATTTGCTCATCATTATTCATTACTTTCCTCACACACTGCTTGTGGCAAAACATTCAGTACTTTGCATCAAGGCACATACTGAATCTGAATGGATACTGACAGAAGACCACACTGGGATATATGTCAGTGTGCGTCATTGATCTGCAAGCTAAAGGAGTTGTTAAGTTTATTTAGTTGATTGAAACCGTGTACGCTGAATCATGGTTGGCTCTGTTCACCTTTCCAGTTGGAAGGTTTACCCTCTTTAAATAGGCTACATTTGAAATAAATAACTAAATTAATTCTATCAGGCTGCTAATTAAAGGTTATAGTAATACTATCTTTTTGAAGAGCGGTTGTACTGTTCGATTTGGTCTTGTCTTGTGTCTTTGTATGCATTCAGAGCAAAAGAAAATATACTTTTTCGATAGACTAGCCTACAAAACGTGGGCTAGTCTTGTATCCACTAACAAAAAGTGCTCATGGTGATTATAATCATCATTGTACCCTTGTCCTTGAATACACTCACACACTTTAGTAGTTCTGAAAATTAATTCTGCACAAGAAAATATCTTCCAGGTACCCATTTATATCCCTTGGCATGGTACAATTTACAAAGTGACAAACTGTGCCTTGTCCACTGGACTTTAAAATGGACAGTGAAAATTAACATCTCGACGAGATTTGATTGACAAATAAACCGACTAATAGCGAGCGTCATTTATTTCAATTTCCTTAGACAGCTGGTTTAAACGCGAACCATACGTGAGCCTAGGCCTAGATGTCTATGCTTGGTTATATACCCAGATTTACACGAGCAGTGCGCATCGGTGACTTGGCCTTTGCCGACAACAAGGTTGACTGAATGCAGCTTTTCCCTCTTCCTTTGGGAGCGAAATACAGAGACTTTTACAATAATTTCCTCACCATGTTCCATGAAATAGATTAACACTATGAATATATGATTCATTTGCATACCACCTACCCTGAATTTTCTTTCTTAAAGAAGGTTGATAGCCGAGAAAACCTTCGCCAACTCGGTAAGTCTAGCCGCCATTGTCTAAGGTTTTTGTGACTTTGTGGGCGGGGCTTCGCGTCCTTGTCGACATGTCAATTCTCATCATCACAGTTGAACTGCAATAACCTGGTAAACGGCTTCCACAGTTATGATGTAATGGAATGTCATGAACTACATGATACATTAACCTCAATAATTTCATTTTAATGAACTTTGAACTTGCGATAAAAGATACTCGTTGATAATGCATAAATCTTGTGTAAACTTTATCCTGATTTTATATACAGCTGGTTCTAAAGATGTTTATAAAAGCAATAGATGGTTTTTGTGCTTGTATTGTTAGGGGAATAACTTGGTCAATATTGTGACTCACGTTTTTATGTATATAGATAATACTGGTGTGGGGCTGTTGTTGAATTTGCAGTGGGTTAGTTTAAGAACTAGTTTGTTTATGAAAAGGCCTATTGCCCTCATCTGGTAGGACACTGCTTGAGGCTGTTACTACACCCTATGGCTATTGGCTCCAAATTTTATCAGTCCTATTTTAGTTTCTGTACTGGTTATGCATTCATAGTGATGCTTTTTTGTTGTCATGGATACTCTGATCTATACAAGAGAATGCAATGAAAGTGTTCAAATTCAAATTTTAAATTTTACTGTAGTTTGGGGTCAGAGATTCCAACCATCCATTCAAGGGTCTCAAGTGCAAGGCCTCTAACATGGAGGTATTCAAGATTTGTCTTAAACCAAAACAGCTCTGCTCCCAATAGCTGATTGAGGCAGTGGCCAAATTGTGGGCCTACGCTAGTAACAGTATGACTCCCCCTTGAAAAATCAGACTTGCAACATTGAAATTAATAAAGAACTGCAGTGTCGACTAGTGTTGAGCTTCAGACAAATTAAAGTCACTGATTTATAGCAAATTATGATTCTTTGTTATTATGGAACAAATAGTACTGGGCGTCGGTTACATGTAATCAATCGGGCAAATGTGCAGCCTCCATGCTCCCGGGGGAGTATTCCAATCTGGTGGAGCTATTCTTTGGTAGAGATTATGTACATTGAGAGAGTTGTCCAAAATACGCCAGCAGTGTGACCAAGGTCTTGAACTCGCGATCACCCAGTTTGAATTTGAATCCCAAAGCCAACCGCTGTTAATACACCGCTTTGTTTATTGCTTATATCTATTCTTTGATTTTCTAGATTGTAACACGCTGAGTTTATTCTTCTGACTTTCTAGCAATTAGCTAGATAATTAATATTTTAGATGTGAACATTTATAGCCTGAGCAATCTTAAATAAACATGTTGACACTAAGATAGCAACAGTTTGCTTAAATCAAGACAACAATTATATCATTGGGCTTTCTTACACCACTTGTTATCAGAACCATGTAGCTATTGTTGTACCAGTGGTAACTGTCACCATTTGTGCTACAGATAGAGCCATGTGGGTAATCTTCTGAAGTCACATGCAACTATGGTACTCTAATAGCAACAGAATATTTTTAATCTAAATTCTCTGTACATTTTATTTTATAATATAATTTGGCACTTACAGTACTGTATGTGCTGCCATTCCAAGACATCAAACCTCCATAGATACACAGAGCATGAATGTCAGAAATGTACAATAAAAACCAAAACAGATAAAAATGCATAATTGCTACTACTGTATTACTAACGGTTTGTACTCTACAGTAGTACTTGACTGATATTAAATTGGTGCCAATATAACAGTGAATAAAATAAATAATGTAGGATTGGATTTTAATTTTTTATATATAAAATATTAATTGTGAGAAAGTATGAATTTAATATATGATTGTTGAAAATTTCAAATTTTTAGCAGAGGACGTGTTTCATTATGGATTAATGTAAAATTATTCGTTAATTTAGAGGCTATAAAAGAATGGCAGTAGCATGAGGTGTTAGCGGGTCCTCCTAATGGATAGTGGTATTGACCTTCATGATAAGGGGGCAAAGGTCTATGTCAAGTCAATAATGTGGACAAGATATTTAACAGGTCCTCTAAATTAATACTGAAAACTTTTGATGAACCTGTTTGACAAAAACTAAAAATGTATAGAAAAAAAAGTAATTTTAAACAGCATAGAATCATTTTGAAATAATTAATTAAAGTATTTTTAAACATAAAATATGTATGATTAAGCTATAGTAGTTTAGTTTTATTATCTACGGTATGATATTTATCTAATCTGGAACATTGTTTGTTGAATACCGCTGTTATTAGCAAGTGATTTGTTCACTAGCCAACCAAATCCCTGTAGAACAGGTCAGTATGTGCATTGTTGACTTTATTCAACAGGTATTTACTTAGTTAAAATTGGAGGTAACAGCTCCAGATTCAAATTTTCAAAGGTGATCATTGTAATGTTGAGTGTTGGGAGACAGATGTCAATTAAATTGATTGCCGTATTTCTTTCACATTTTCGCAAGTCGTCAACTTCTTTGGATTTTTTTACCATTTAACGTAAGAAGGGAAAGTACAAACTCATTTTGGGACTTATTTACTTGGTAAGAATAATGGAGCAAACATAATAACTACTGTAGGCCTATATAATTTTCTGTTTATCATCTAGTATCACATAATGCTAGATTTAATACAAATTTTGATTTAGAAAAAGAAATGGATTTAAAAGGAGAGTTATTAGATGGTCTTTGTGGGTTTGTTGGTGTTCCAAAGTATTGCCGTAACCCTTTAAAATGAACATTTCACTATGTTTTATTAATTTGTTAACATAATGACTTGAATGGAGAATGTCCTCAGAGTTTTCTTGCTTAGTACAGGTAGTGAACAGTCTGTTAATAATTTACTGGGTAGGTGACATGATGCTGAGTAAAACACTTGAAAGTTTTCAGTTTTTTAAATGAAGGACTCCACTGTAATTAAGTCGTCTTCTGACTTTCGTGGGTTATCCTTTGGTGGCTACACTAAATAGATCCAAATCAATAATTCGTTTAAACATACAGTTTTGTGACATTGACACGTGGCCTTTGATGGTGTGTTCAGGAACATTACCGTATTTCTAGGGTTCAATGTTCAATTTATTCATCATACAGTAAATATGGCCTATGGTAGGCCTGATTGAAATTTGATTTCCTGGGATACCGTGAAAATATTAAACATAGATGATTAAACACTAATGAGACACTAGAAAAAAAATTTATACAAGATGCTCTACATAAACTAAACCTTATTTAAAGGGCTTGGGGAGTGGAGTCGTTTTTAGTTGTGAGAGAAAATTGTTACTGTGTCAGGAACTGAACCTAAGACACTGAGATCTTAACCACTATACTATTCAACTTCACTAAAGTTTATTCAACATCGACATCTTATGGCTAGCATTCACCTGCTGTAATACCCAGTACTGTAATTTTCATAGCCCATTCTGACATCCATCATTAAAATCCATATCCAAAGCTGTGTATCAAAAAGGGAAAACCAATCATTTCATTGTAATTTATTTCACATGTATATTTTTGCAGACATTTTTGTAATAATAGTGTTGGAATTACATAATGATAGTGTTATTTTAATATTGATTATCTTCATCATTAGCATGAATATTATATTTTAATTGCTGATATTTGGGATTAGAATAAAAGTGAAATGCCCATTGGATATAATGAAAACAGAAACATAAAATATCCAAATTAAAGCATAAGAAACTAATCTAGTGTTAAGAATATTATCCATTCTGTTATCACCTGAATACAATAGCCCACCCGATTTGATTGAAATAATAATTTTTTTCTGAGAAATATTTTGTTAGATGTTGAGTTGAACTGCTTCCCTGGGAGGCTCACAGGGTGCACTCCTCAGTAAACTTAATAAATGCAAGGTCACACGATGTCATAATGGTGTCTGTTTCAGGCACCTGTAATGTGAGATGATTGAATATTATTGAAAATTTCGCTAAAATTCAGTTGATATCTACACAGGACACGTCATAAAGGCCTTGCTATATTCACCTTGGAATTACTAATGCTGCTAATCAAAATTGTGGTATATACTTTTATTTTTGTGATTATTTTTTTTAACATTTGATAATAGGTAGGACATATAGATAAGCATCCCACATATAGATCTTTAGCTCTCTTTGAAATACTTGGTTTCTGTCTGGTGTCTGATTGTTGTAGTACAGTAGTACCTGTATATTGCCTTTAGTGGATATTCAGAATGAACACATCCCTGGCATTAACTTTGAGCAAGGAGGTGTTAAATAAAGTTTATTTATTAATACCTCCTTGCTTTGTGAGTCTATAGAAACAAAGAGGTATTATTTATTTAATACCTCCTTGGTAGAAATGAATTTAGGTGAGGATAGTCTTGGTAAAAATTGCTCCTGTAAATGGGACCCTGCTAAAAATGGCCTATGTAGCTGTTGAAAATTGACCAATGTATAAAGGTGGGCTTATCTTTGTCTATGTTTCTCATTCATTCATCTATCTTTCTTTGGTCTTCTCTGACCAGACGTTTGTGGGTTATGCATCAAAGAAATCCAAATTTGTTCCAAAGTTAATATTTGAATGTAATTTGGCTGTACATTGTTTAGTGTATTGCATGCCTACAGTAGTTTAGAAGTTTTCATTAATGATTGTAAATTAATAAAAAGTGATTAGAAAAACACTGGAGTACACATGTAAAACATGATTTTGGCCACCCTGGCAAAATATAGCTAATACAGTAATTTATTTTTTTTATGCGATAACAGTAACAAGAGGAGGTACAATTATACTAATATTGTAGTAGCAGGTGGCAGGTTTTGCATTAGCCCTGCAGCATACAACAAGTACCATATTATTATTAATAACTGATGAGGGTCATGCAGTTACTAATCCAATTGTAGTAAACCCCTGCTTACTACACCTCATACAAGACTTATAAAAAAGAGAATTATTGATTTAGTAAAGAATTATCCCTTTGGCCTTCAGATTCCATTAAGAGAACACACTTGCCGATGGTAAGAACTTTCAAGTGGAAAATCTATAGGCCTACACGGCTTAACTTTGAAAACTAACCTAGTTTGGTTAACAAGTTCAACAATGAAACTACACCTTAATTATATAATGCTGAAAACCAAGAATATATATAGTAGTAGTCTTACTATTGCATAGCTCCTTGGTTAAAAATGGATAAACACTTTTTAACAAGGGATGCTTATAAAAAGCTTTAAGTTTATTTCAGTGAATTTTGTCTGAGAATAGATAATAGTGAAAAGGAAACTGAATCTACATTATATATCAAGCTAGGATTTCCTTGAAAAATGTACAATATATACCAGTAAATGCAGTGTAACCACTAGTAGTCTGAATTAAAACAAATATTTAAAATGACGAGAATTCAGTAAAAAACTAACCATGAATTTATTAAATCCTCCAGTTTCTGTCCACAAGACATTTTCAGGAATATGGTATGAAATGAATTAACCCTTCTGTAGCTGTATAATCTATTTATTATTGTAAAGTCTTCACATTATAATTAAATCTGAATTTTCTTTAGAAACTTCCTCCTAAAATACACAAGGTATTAAGAGGGTCAACCACACTGTTTATGGTACCAGCATTTCATTTCATGAGTTTGGTAGAAAGTAAATTTAAGCAAAGAAAGCAACTGGGCCGGTTTAGTACTTGTATTAATCCTTGTTTAAATTTACACTTCTATTAAAAGCCTCCTTATCTGCCTCCAACAATTCAATAGAAATGCAGCACTAACACAATTTTTAATGTTGTTATGCTGCAGTTTACAGTATGTCACATTGCTTGTTACTTGACACTTTAAGAGAATATACAGTATTCTGTAATTTTATCTGAAATATAATTTATTTTCACAGTTAATTAATTTATAATTAAACAATCATCTAATGTTTTAGTATTCACATACTATAAAGGCCTATGTTTACTATTTGGAATTATTGAATTGAATAATTTTGAAAATATTTAGGCCCATGGCCTCGATACTGACCACAATCACTGTCGATTGTGGCAATCTTTAAATTTATATTTTGTAGCCCTGTCTGAGCCTGTGTTATATAATTAATATCTACAGTAAACAGGAAACATTCATTAAGGGTTATTGTATAACTATATTAATGTAACATTTATCAAGAGTTATTTTCTAGTTAGGCTTAATTATGCAGTTAAAAATGATGAATCTTGGTAAATTCATTTCTCATTAACAGTTCATCAGCTTAATTAAGTAGAATTTGAACTATAGTAGCAGACATCTAAATTATTAAATTATTGGTTGTCCCATTGCACATTAAATTTTAACCATTAATTTCACTCAATTGTTATTTTCTCATGAAATGAAGATCAAGAGTTTCATATTACTAAAACCATGGAGCTGAAACTCCGACTAAATTAATTATTAAACACGCTATCTGGTTGCCATGGTGATTGATTCTTGGGAATGTTGGATCTACTGTACATTTCGGCCTATAGTAGTTCAGACTAGGTGGATAAACCCAGCTCACGTTTTGAGCGCAATGTGTCGAAACTCGTTTTCTGGTTATGGTTTATGCCGATGCTTGCGCCTGGCTAATCCCGCTAGTCTGAACGCCCAGCAAAGTTAAGCCGGGCTTAACCTTGAGCCGGGCTTAACCTTGAGCCAGACTTATCTCCAAGTCTGAATGTAGCCTTCACCACTAATGTTTACGTGTATTATGACTTCTCAGTACCATACCATACTGTACCATAGTTCTAGTATGAGGATGTCCTTCATGGTACCATAGTGTTGGTATGACCCTCCATGGTATAGTATAATACTGTTGGTGTTGCATCATCCTTGTGATACCAAACTGTCATTATGGTTGTGGGTCATCCCCAAGGTACCACACTGTTGGTTTGAGGGTCATTTCCTTGGTACAATACTGTTGGTTTGCGGGTGATCCCCTGGTACAATACTGCTGTATGATGGCCATTCTCATTGTACTATTGGTTGGAGGGTGATTCCTTTGGTTTGAGAGTTATCCCCATGGTGCAATACATGTGACCATGCACCTTGTATAATAATACTACTGTAGTATTTTTATCATTATAACTCAAACTACTGTATGCTATGATTTGCTCAAATTATGTATACAGGTATGCTAAATGTAGATTTTATTACATTGATTTTATTACAGTAAATGTAAGATATGGTATTATTATTATTATTTATTATTATTATTGCTTTAATTAATTATGAATTACCTAATGATTTATTTAATTATTCTTAGGTTGATGGAGCATTGATTGAATAATGGAATTGTCTGATGCGGAGGCTGAATGGAGTGAGGAGGAAGTTACTGGAGGTACAGAGTATGGAAAAGTCTTTTCACAATTTGTGGCAACCACATAAAGTAGCATAATGTAGCATTCTCTGACCAACACCAAGTAATACAACCACTTATTCTGTCACTGTTTTTGTAGTCTGATAATTTCTGTCTGAAGTGTATCGATATCTGATTGCGAGGTTATATCACTCCAGACAGTCGCCAGACAATCTACAACACTACTATTACTAAGTTACTAATATTCATAGAAATAGTAAACATTCCAGTGATGGTCACTTGTGGAACTCCTGGTTGGTTTTCCTCTCTGGAAAATGTTCACTGTATGAAAGATCCCTTATTCCATAATAGTGAAATTTATTTTGTGGATATTTTAATGAAAGCCTTTTAAAATAAAGATACCACATCAATATTGTAGTCTTGAAGGTTAACTTAATGTTACTTACAGTCCACAATCTTAAGTGGGACAGTTGATCAGAAACCTGCATTTTTGTTAATATTGATGAAAACAAATTTCAAGATCTAAAAATAATAAAATATTAAATACTCTATAAAATGATTATAATTATTTTATTAAAATCTATGAAAATTATAATTATTTATACCACTACCATAATCATCATCATCGGTATCATTTCTTCTCTTTGCCATATTTTTAGTAGAAAATATAGAACTAAATAAGACTTTTTTCTATTGTGCTCTTTAATTTCTTTCCTCGTGGTTTGATTTTGTTGTTCCATGGTAGTACAAAGTCAGTGAAACGTAAAATTAGTTTAGGTCTGCCGCTATTAGATGATACAAGCCACATGTCTTGGTGTAAGATTATGTGACACCAAGGAGTAACTATGGTAGCAGTAGTTATCCAAGAAGCAATTCCAGATGCCTTTGTTTAAGATTATATATGATACCAGAAGAGTACCGTAACTTACATTGTACTTGTAGTGTATAGAAATAATAACAGATGCATTTGAAACTATACAGTATTTACTAAGTTTAATTTATTCCACTGAAAAAATATGAATTTTATATAGTATTGTATAGTCTACATTTATAGGGACCAGGGATATGAAGTGAGAATGGGGATGGTGAATAGTTAAGAGGAAGTTTTGGGAGTCATAGTATAGGGATGGCCCCTGCAGACCTGTTCAGTTGTAAATCATCTTTACTACTTACAGGTCAATCTAATTGCAAAGTGCATTGTTTTATATTGTCAATTTCTATGAAAGGATGTTCCACAATTACCATTCCTCTTGATTCCAACATTACTAGTATAGAATAGGAATAGAACTCATGTTTTGTAATAGAAGTTTTTATTTATGTTATTTCTATACCCATAGCATATAAAAATTTCCTAAATGATGACTGTGTTTATCTTCATCATATTCTATTATTACACTCTCAATATATCCAGCAACAAAAAAAAAAAAAAAAAATCAAAATACAAGATCAATGACAAATTTTAATTTATAAATATTATTCTATCATTTATTCCTATCAGAAATCCATTCTGACAATGAGCATGCTTCTACTGGAGATGATCAGGAGGATGAGTTAGTATCAAGTGAAGAGAGTCAAGAGGAGGACGATGATGAGGATGAGGAGGAGGAGGAGGAGACAGAGGTTGAAGTCAATATTGACCATACAGATTTCATCCTAGACAGTATTGACAAAGAATTGAATGCACTTATTAACAAGGTCAGCTAATTTTTTGACACCATCATACATTATTTTGCATGCAATAACTTGGTGTTCTTTTTGTAATTGGTTTTCAAATTTCAAATTCTTAGGGTTATATTTTTATGGGTTATATTATATTCAGCTGGTTAAACTTGGTTGGGACCATTAAAACAAATCCAGGCAAGAAAATTGAAATAGCTTCGGCCGTAAATTTATGACAATTGAGACCCAAAATGGGTCCAAGATTAGGCCATTTTAAAATGAACCTCTTGATCGTGTTAGAGCCATGTTCAACCTAATATGGATCCCAAGCGTTGAGACCTCATGGCTTATGGTACTTTTGACCCTACCTGACCCATATTACTCCACCTTTACAGTTCCTGTGCATTTGCTTTTATAATATTAATTAAGATTACATTTTAATACCTTATGAAAAAAGGTCTTGTTCCTAAATTTTAGGCTGGTTGGGTGTTGGGCAACATGAAATATTTTTCTTGGCCTAATCAAAATGATTGGAGACCAGTTACTATAGTAACGAAAGAGAAAGATTTATTTCATATATCCAATATTGTTGTGTTTTTTAATCCTTAGACATATCCAACTGACCAATCAAATGGGCAGAATGGACATGGGTTGACCCAGTCACCATCAGTAATGCAAAAAGATAATGCCAAGGGCAGAAAGAGAAAAGGTAAGTTCATAGCAGAATCAGAACTTTAAACACATGGAGGCATACTGGATGAGATCGCATTTTTAGTGTTTGTCTTGTATTTTGAATGTTTTTGTCTTTTCTTGTACTGAAAATTGTCTCATCCAATCATGAAGTTCGATTCATTTCATTTCACTTCATTTATTTCGCCAAAAGATATAAATATATAAAATATACAAATATAAAATTTAAAAAATAGTAATTGTTGTCATGTGGCAGGATTGCCCAAAAGTAGAAGATCTACTGTCGAGGGGCTCTCCTCATGACAACAAAAATACAATATCGCAATTCTATATACATAATTTAAAAAAATATTATAAACATTAAAATGCAGTACGGTATAAGAAAACATAATATAATTACAAAAAGGTTAAAAAGGCCTAATAAAAAGTACAGATAAAATAAAATAAAATGGCAATAAAGTTTAATTTGAATTTTTAAAATAAATATCTTTGGTCTTTCACTTATCTCCACACTCACTGAAGCTGCCATATATTACCATGCAGATCTTATAACTTTGTTAAATTGTAGGCTGTATGAAATAATAAAAATGCTATTTTTTTAAATTCTTTAAGCAGGATAAACATTGGTTATAAATCTTGAAGGCCAGAAGCTAGCCCAACAGATGAGGTATAGCCTAATACACCTAAGGCTGAAGCAGAATAAAGCCTATCCTTGCCCACCATTTGCAACTCTTACCAAAGAGCTTAAATAGCAGAAGAATGAGCTGTTCCACGTATTTACATTAAAATTGATGGAACATCTGCCCTCCCGCGAATGGGGTAAAATTTGACCATTTTACTAAGTGGATATACTGCAGGAAACAAACCATCCGCCGCGGGGACGGGGTAAAGTTGCTCTCCGTATACCCACAATGTCTTTCGAACGGATGTTCCACTATATTGGGAAGCTGCTCTATCTTCTGCTATTTATTATCTTTGCTCTTACCCATTGCATATGTTCTCATAGTACTGTACTTTGGCTCATGTGCACTTTAAAGAACCCAGTACATCTTTCGAGATGAGTGGGGTTACCCCGGTGTACTAATGCATACAGCCCCTGTTGTGGACAGATGAGAGTAGCTGGTACCAGTTTACCGGGTAGCTCAGACACGAAGAGACCCTTAGGGGAGAAAACAGTTACTGTACGAGCACTTTGAGAGTCTGGTATATGTAAATCGCTATGTAAATCCAACTATGATTGTTACTTAAATTTGGTATATGAAATTATCTGTTTTCTCTCCCATTTAATTGTTATGTATGTGAAATAAAAAGAAATTTTTATTCCAATTTTAGGTGGTAAAAAACGCTCGTCTCTTGATGGTACCAATGACACTGAGTTGGGCTCAGGTGTGGAAGATGCCACTATTACAGATAAAGAAAGTTCCCGAAGAAGGGCTATGGAAGTTGCGGAGCAACTGCTTCAGGAAGTAAATGCAACAGATTCTGGTATGAGAACAATATTTAATACATTAACAATAATTATTTTGCAAATAATACTAACAATTGGGAATTTGTAAAGGGTAGTATAAATTCTGATACCAAAGTAAAGAAAAGCTACATAAAACTACATTGTTTTTTAGGAAATCAAGAAATGGTCTTCAAAAAGTCAAAACCAATGAAAGTCAAAGGCAAAAATGGAAAAATAAACAAATCTAAGAAAGGAAAGAAAGGTGATAGTGACACCAACACAAAACAGGGTGAGTATATTCATAATGTTATGTTAATTTTACATGGAGCAACAAGCTCCATTGTAGAATCTTTCAGAATTGTAGATCTTTTGCGTGAGCTCAGTCAGTATATATGTTCTGTAAACTAATACCCCTATCACACTAGACAAACTCTTACACTGGATGCATCTAGAAAATATTTAGCCCACATTTCCTGCTACATAGTTCCATTCCTTGAGTTTGCATGCCCTTAACACCCTACTTTCCCATCACTCCTCTAACAGCCCCTCTCTCATGTCTGTATACCTAAATAAACCACTGCATGTGATGAATAATATATAACAATAATCTAATACAAAGCTCTGGGACAGATCCAGAATTTTCAAGCGTGGGGCACAGCATTTTCAGAATAGATAAGTGAGTAGTTGTAATTTCAATATATGCATTGAAATGTTAAAGTTTAGTGGCAAAACTGGGGGAACATTCCCCTGTTCCCCTTACTGGATCCATGCCTGAAGCTTGTTTATAAACCAAAATAATACCTTCTCTGTTGGTGTTCTATTAAGCTCTGTCTAATCCAGGGGCGGATCCAGAATTTTTCCAATGGGGGGTGGGGGGCACAACATATTCAGAATAGATAAGTGAGAGCACTAATTTCAATATATGCCTTGAAATTTAGAAATTTAGTGGGAAAACGGGGGTTAAGGACGCTTGGCCCCCATACCTGCCTACTGGATCCGCCCCTGGTCTAATCTATCAAATTTTAAATGAAAAAAAAAATGTGATGTGCCCATATATGGGCACAATGACATCATATCACATAATTTCAAATTGTATCAAAAAAGTCAACTTTTATTTTATGTTGTCTGTCAAAAAGTTGTCACCTTTTGACCAATTAGCAAACACTACAAATCACACCAACCAATCGGATTTGATAATTCAGTTTCATCAAACTACATCACATTATTTGATGCAGTTTGATGTATCATCAAATTGTATGTGACGCTTTTTTGATGAAATTTGATAGTGTAGAGAGAGCTTTACTTGGGTCTTCTTTTTCTGTTTGATGTTTTACTTTTAAATTTTGCTTCTCCTAGATAATTTATTTCAAGCATCAATTGATGATGAAAAACTAAGCCAGGGTCCACGATTTGACAGTTCTAATGTCATTACCACTAGTAGCAGGAACGAGTCACATCGGAGGAGAAAGAAGGTTCGGAATATGCCAACCAAAAAAAGGAATAGTTCTGCTAAGAATAAATCAGAAATTTCTGTCAAACCGTTGAGGACTACTGGGGCATCCTCAGATGGCAGGTCTGAAAATGCTTCTGCAGGTGATGGGGATTACATTGAAGGTGTGTTTGTGCAGTCTTCAGACAGAGATAAAGAGGATGAGACTGATGATGTCAGTTATTTTAATGATGAAGGTGAAGAGTCTCTTCATCAGTCACATACAGACTTTTCTAGGTTTGATGGAGAAGAAAGTTTAACCTCAGATGATCAGACTTTAGAGGATGAGGAAGTAGAAGATGCAGAAGAAGAGGAAACATATGATGAGGAGGATGAAGAGATGCATCACATAAATCACAAAACATCATCTCTCCACAATGACCCTCATCATTATAAAGAATATCCACAATTCAAATTAATATTGGAAAAAGAGAATGACATTGATTCCATGGCAACAGAGGACATTGTTCATGAACTGGATATAAGTTTTGGCCCTAAACTTCACCCTCCACTTTCACCAACTCCAAGATCTTCTTACGTTTACAAAGGAACATCTACAGACAACTCACCTCGTTCAATCAAACAAGCAACCCAGAAGAAGCCTCGTAAAAAGAAGACACTCAAGCAGAAGGCATCCAAGAAAATGGTTGACAGCAATGTTGGCAGTGGTGTTGGCAGTGATGTTTCTAGTGGGTTACCAGAATACATGTACATACGCAGGCCAGTTGGTGAGTCTGATATTGGCTCTGACTCCAACTACACTGAACATTACGAACCCCTCTTCTGCGCATCTCTGGTGTACACGGGCGAAGGTACTCCTCCATCATGCAAACATCATCTTATCATTATACATTGCAGCAAAAGCAGAAATTATTCATGTAGACATATTTGTATCAGGGGAAAAGAAAATGATTGTTTGCTTTATAAAGCTCTTTTCTGATTGGCTTCCTAAAAATTATTCTTGTAGCAAGCATCCAATACAAAGGATTTTTATTATTTAGAGGGTGTATTGCTCAGACTCTCTTGTCTATTTTTCCCCTGATCTGTGTAGCCTTCACCCTACCCATTGTGCTTTCTCATTTCCATTCTTCACTTTGTAAGAATCGCCAATTAATCAAGCACCATTCCAAAAGTTGTTGCTTGGGTGGTGCTGAACACCAAGAATATTTTGATGTGCAGGACCTGCTGCTACGTGGGGATTGGATTCAAAACTAGCCACTAAGCGCAAGCTCGGTCGTCTAGTGGTTATGACACCAGATTAGTTATCTGGGGGTCATGGGTTCGATTCCCACCCGAATCACTTGCAAATTTTTTTCTCATTTTTTGTGGGAACGTACTGAATATTCAGTATAACACATCAAGTAGGGTAAAACATCACTCCTATAATCACCAAGAATTAACACAGTGGAGTAATCATAATCATTTAAATTTGGAAGTTTGCTCAGTATTGTTGGAATAATTTAAAAATTATGTTACTTTACAAGTAAGAAATAAGAGAACATATCTGCAAATTTTTAATTGAATTATGAAAGGCACAAATCGTATGTATACTTATTACTGCATCCAGATCTTCCAAAGTTTAATGACCTTTCTATATTTGTGAAGAATTCCTATAGTCATGGTCTAGTAACTTTATAATAATTGTGTTCATTGTTGTTATCAGCATGATTGTTTTGTTCTCTGTCAGAAATTTCAGCTTATCCATAGTACCTTCTAACATCATTTTCAACATTATCATATTAATATTTTTTTTTGTTTTGAATGAGATGTTTATATAGAAGAATTCAAATTTCTTTATTCTTAATGAAGTGAGCCCTCTATCAGGAGATTAGGCATTGTATAACATTCATTTAACATGAATTAGCAAAATTCAAATTCAATTCAATTATGCATTTAGAAATATTAACAGATCATAAATGTGTGTATGTATATATTCAAATTCAAAATTCACTTTATTGGAATCTGACAATTCTTTTTATTTTAGGAACAAGTGACATTGTTTTAGTTATCATTTATAAAGAATGCAGTATTATCAGTCAAAAATAGGCCTTTGCGTGTGTCTTAGAATATTATCTTGCCAGTATTGACATTACAATTTCCGCACGATGTGCCATTTCCTGAATTATTGCTATTTATAGATTCTTAACAATATTCACCTGTAAGTAAACCATGTTATAGATTAGTATATTGAGTTTTGAAATAATACAAAATATGAAAAATAGAATGATAAAGTTGTTCCTAAATAATATAAAGACACAGTTTTCATAAATACATCAAGTGAACAAAGCGTACACAGGCTGCTGCTGCTGCTGCTGCTGCTGATGATGATGATGATATAAAAAAACAATAAAATAATATTAAATATAATATTAATTAATATTATTATTATTATTTATTATTTTTTTTTTTTTTAATTTGTTTGATCAGATGTGTCTGAAGAAGTAAATAATTGTCACAAATGTCATACCAACAGGCTTGGACATTTCACATTTGTCACCATCTCACAGTGGGCATTATACTCTAGGTTGAAAAAAATATTTCTTGGATCAAAAAAATGAAATTATATTCTTAATAAAGATAGTTGTAAAATAATTTTTTTGTCTATATGCTATTGTAAACAAAGTTTATGGAAATAATTTTCAGGCTGAAATCACTCAGATAGAGCTATTCCCCCCTTGTTATTGTTCATAAAAACCATCTTGGTTTTGGAGCGTAATACAATCCGTATTTAAAATGAAAGATCAATACGCTGCTGGTGTATGTTTCATGGGTATTGCCCTAGGGTATGTGAAGCATATAGATACTTTCACAAACTTGCTAGGCCTACAGTAATTCTTTTTGAAGTGTAAATCAAACTTATCAAACCAATACATGTTGATATCCCACAAACACACATGTTGTCTTGGAAATGCATGTTTGTGTATGTTTAGACCTTCATTATTTGGGACCTGAGCAACAATATCTAAAAGGCTTAGTAGTGGGCTCTCTGGTTCTGATATTTTTTGTGATTACATATTTTCTGTCAAAATAGAATAAGTAAACTTAAACTTGCTTGATTTTTTAACTATAAATTACTTGATAACGTATGCCAAAAAACTTCATCTTTTTTTTTTTTAATAGCATAATAGATTTAATAAAAAGTTAGGCATTTTATTCAAACATATTTAGTAAACATACAGTACTGTTTATTAATTGTAGCTTACGCATTAGCAAAAATATGTTAACACATTTTTATAAATGTCCCTCATAGTAAACCAGTTCATATATGAATGATTAATGCATTGTTAATTGTTTTCAATTATATATATATTTGATGTTTAATTTGCCTAGGATTTAAACCAGGTCTGCTGCCAAGAAAAGTAGTACCAAATGGGTATATACCAAGTGATGTAGAATCTGTTCAGACCGAAGATTTTGAACGGCGTTTTCGTCACATGATGGTAAAGCAGGTGGCTGGCGTACCAATCATGAGCTTCGATACGGTTACCATTCCAAGCGATCTGGATTCCGTGAAGTCAGGTGATGTCAGAGAAACATTCCAGACTATTCTAAAGAAAAAGAAAGGTAAATTCATTAATATTGGTATACATACTTTCGGAACATTTTTTTTGTATTATACACATTTCTCTTATTTTTTCTCAGCAACCTCTTCTTCCTCCTCATCTTTTCTCTTTCTCTTATTTTCTCTCTTTTCGTTCCTCCTACTTTCATCCTCATCACATTTCTCCTCTTCCTTTGACTCTTTCCACTGTTACTCTTCCTCTTACTGCTCCAGGTAATAACATAAAAATATATGCAGGTGGAATGCGTCTAATGGAAACATCACAGCAATCTTCAGAACAGCAATTTGATGGGTTCTTTTTCTCCATCTGATTTTCTTTCCACTTCTTTTTATAAGGTTCTAAAAATAGATCTGTAGATGACTTCTCTGATCAAAGTGATACAGCATCAGATATTCCCAGGAATTTCGAAGGCTCCTTTAAAGACAAAAGAGGAAATGGTATGATGACAATCCTTGTTTTAATAATTTATATTTAATAAACATTAAAGTTTGCTATGTATATAAATTATAAGGCCTTGATTTCTAATAATAAAATATTGAAATTTTATTTTGGGCCTATACTACTACATTCGTCCCCATGAAAAAATAAGAACTTGTATATTTTTTTTATTTGTCATAAAAGATTTTGTCATGTTTAGATGCATTTGGCAAACTATTAGGCTCAATGAAACAAAAACAAATCTGATTTTCCTTAATAAATATAGTTTGCTAAACTCACCTTAACAAGAATGTATTGATTAACCAAACAGTTTCTAATGAGGTAGACAAATAATAATGTTTGTATATATAGCTTTGACTTTCTACTCAAATTTCTTCAGACTTGTTGGCGAATGGAAGTGACGAAGACGTTAATAAAGATTGTATGGATCCATCTATGTTGCGCTACACCGGTGATGTTAGAAATGCTAATGGAGATGGTGTAAGGAGAGGTAAGTTCTACTCAATTTGTATTTGAAATAATACAAAAAAAAAATCATTTTGCCACAACAGCTCCTACCCTCCCCTTGTAAATAATTATAGATATGCCATAGCAGCAAACAGTTCTTATTTTGTCTGTCCAAAATCTAATTGACATACAATTATGTTATTCTATGATTATGAATTCGCTGTAAAATGCATACTGCGATGCATTAGAAAAAGAAATAGATGCTTGCCAGAGGTTATTTGAAAAAGGAAGTAAGGCGTTTTTTTTCTAGCTGTCAGCTATGTCATGTCTTCTGGTAACACAGACTTTGAGTCTCAGAAGCATAAAGTAGAAGTACATAAAATTGTTAATTACCACTAATAGGTTATTCTAGTGATTATTGTATTGCATAATTAAATGTAATAAAACGAAAAATGGAAGCAGGCCAGGAAAACAAACACTAATATTTTTTTTGTACTTGGTCTCATTAATGAAGAATTGGTCCTGTGTATATATACTGGTCTTAACTTTTTATCGTTTGTTTAACAATAAAGACTGTATCAGGTTTTTTCCAATTTTGGAATAGCATTTAAGATTAGTTTCAAACACACTAAGGCAGCTTCCACAACCATCCCACCCTAACCCAGCACACACCCCTCTCACACCAGCATCCAATATTGAAATAGTAACTACATATTATAGGCTGACATTACTGTATGTCATATATCATACATTTTTTTTTTCAAAGACAAATTTACAGAAATTCATAATAAAAATAAAAACTGTGGTCTACATAGTTAGACTGGATTGCTGCAAAGTCGGACGTTCACAATCGGGGTGCTTTCAACATATGGCAACTAACAATTTCAGAACAAAAGCATGTCATTAGAGGGGGCGAAGCCATTAGCGAAAATCGTCATCAAAAATTCTACCGATTTAAGATGTGGTAAAGGGGTTATTGATTAATCTTAAGTAAATAATGAATACTTTCTCTAATATAATGACAAGTTTATTAGAACATTGTCAGGGATAAATTATTTCAATGGTATACAGAACCTTTTAACCTTATATCTGCTATTAACTTTACAATAATATAAAAACATTTTCTTTTCATCTCTCTTTCATTTCCAGTATTATTTTCTATCTTTTTCCCTTATTATCTGTCATTTTTGTTAGTGAATATAAATAATTGTGTCAATGTGGTTAAACTACCTTAATGTCCTTGACTATAGTATTTTAATAAGGCAGACTGTTCTCACCAACCATAATTTACAGATAATCTCAGTAAAGATCATTCAAATATTACATCATTAAGGTCATGTGACCTTTTAGAAGATGACGTTACTAAACAAGATAATTTAACATTTGTGCCATAATATCAAGGATTTATCAATTATGGCTCCTAGAAAGAATGACATCAATTCAATAATCTATTCTTAGAGTGTTTCTTCATCTTCTAAATCCTTTCATCATTTTTTTCTTTTTTAACAAGAGTCAAGATTGGGCAATGAAAATAATATTTGATTCAAAATAATGTTTAGAACTAAATATCTTCAGAATTTTCTACCTTTGTTTTTGTTATAGGTGTATCGGTTATTCTTGCAAATTTGGTTTTGTTTAAAGATTTCTTTGCTTTGTTAGCTGAACACCGTAAACATTTAGATTTAATTTCTCTTTTTAAATATATGAATGCAATCTTCAATTTTCGTCTTTCTGTTCCATAGTGTCAATTACATAATCTTGCTCTATTTTCAATTACAGGGGAGAGTCAATGTTACTAGTGGGTTTATCAATCGACTGATTAAATTATTTAATTATTTATGTGAAATTGATTTTTCTACTTATATTTTCTGTGATTCTCTTTTGTGTTTACCATCAAAAAGATTTGTCTAATGTTAGTAATATTTAGCATGTTCAAACTTCATATATTTATTTAAACATTTTATTATTCAATTCTGTAAAAGTGACTAGTCACTGTTGGAAAGATAATGAATGATGATTATGATTGTGACTTAGTTCTTTATTTAATTTACATGTGCCTAGGCGTACCCGATATAGAGGTCTTTTGAACCCACCTTCCATTCGTGTTGATGTTACTTGTAGAGGTTTATTTAAACTTTTATGTGATACAGTAGTTATAATAAGTTTTGTTTGTCTAATATTTATATTGATATTTTTTTTTGACAGTTTATATGTTCTTAAATAAAAAGTTGTTAGTACTTTTTAATGTATTTATCAATTTACATAAATATTTTATATCTATTTTAACCTGTTAGTGGCGGTTGCTGTCTCTTATACACATCTAGATGTGTATAAGAGACAGGTTATGAGAGGTTCAACAGTAGCTTTGATTAGACATATTTATTACTATTTAGTTTCGTGCTACACATACATGGTGCAGCACTCTTCAGATAAAATAGTCTATATATATATATATAGTATGTGCCAGAGACATTTAGTACAAATTAGTTCTGAATGTTGAATAGTTCTATATCCCTCCCATATTTTTCAGAAAATGACTATTGATTTTGGTTATATTCTGATTATGCAGTGTGTCTTATTGTAAATATTGCCTCTATGCATTGTAAACAGTAGCGGCTACTTTCTGTATGTATAGTACATACTTCTACTCATTAACCTCTTCAGGGGCCAGCTCTATCTTAGCACTGATTGATTTAGTAATTGCAGGAATATTCAATGCGAGGAAACAATTACCATGGTGATCAGATGAGTAGACCAATCAGAATTGGGAGGATAGCATCATTAGATAATGTTAACCTTAAATGGCAATCATGCAGTTTGGATTAAATAGCAAGAAAAATGCAAAATGCATTATTATTACAGTTGAACTTGCCTCAGTCGAATCCAAAATGCCTTTGAAATATTGGTCGACTTACAGATTGTTAACTAATGGAAAACACAACAATTTGGCATGTAAAATAAGATCGACTTAGAAATTATTCGACTTAGGCACAGTTGACTTAAGCAAGTTTAAGTGTATGTTATTGCACAATTTAGAGTGTTTATGAATGGGATCTATTTCCTTTTAACCAATGGCTTTAGCCCCTAACCTTGGGTACTATAACTATAGTAATATTAGAACATTACATTTTTGCTTAAATTTGGACCAGTATGTTTTTAGATGACGTGAAGTCTTTAGTAATTTATTTCCAGTGTTATTGTTATTAGAATTCCAAATTCCTATTACTTATTCAGACATTCATTTCATATATTTATTTGACCTACTAGTACAACATCATAATGATACAGTCTTAAAATAGGTCAGGTCATTTATTAAAGGTAAAGATAATAAAATTTGCTATGAAGAGTCATCTGGCCTGGTTAATGTTACAGTATTAATATACTGAAATCTTGTGCATTAAGACATTGTATTTGGTACTGTACTGTACAAGTCCACAATCATTGCCATTATTATAATATCAGGCATTATCGAATTGATAAACCATAAGACAATCCATTAATTGTTAATTTTTCTTTATAGAACTCCTGCACCTTAGAGTGCCACGGTCCCAGATGCGAGACAATTATTTATTTTTGATTCATAGTATCTTAGATCAATTTAATAGCAAAAGCATGTTTTTGTTCTTGAGTTGTTTCTATTTTGCTTGGTTTTTCTCAGTTAGTAGATTTGGGTTGTTGTTTTATTTTGAAACTTCATATTATTTTCTCTACATAATGAGGTTTAGTAAGCAACACATAGATCAGGCTCCTGTATAATATACCTATAAACTGCAGTTTTATGCAAAGTATGTTTTAAAAAATAATTAATCAAAAAAGTAATAATAACAATAATAATTGAAGGATAATGGAAATAAGTAAACACACATTATCATTTTAAATGTAATTGTAGAACCCAGGGCCCATCATCTATTGATATATTTTGCTGCCTATTGTATATATTTTTATGTGTATATATACCAAAAAAAAATTGTCAGTTAATTTTAACACTCTAGAAAGGTGCATTAACAGAAAATAGTGTAATATTTAAAAGGTGATCATGAGATGTACAGTATATATGCCAATATGCATATCTTTTAATTATTCAGTGGGTTGAATCGAAGTATTAAACAACATACAAAAGTGATTATTGGAAACGTATTTAGATTATGTAAACATGCATTTTGAAAGAGACTGGATACTGATAATTGAAAGTAGGTTGACCTGCATTTTGATCATAGGTTTTGTTTTGAAGATCTACAGGTTTTGTTGTCTTTGCCATTTAATTGACATTTATGAGTTGTGATAGAATATTGCATTTTGATCATGATCCAGTTTTTAATAAATAAACTGAATACTGATTTATTAAATTAAAGTTTGGAATTTCTCACAAAATCTCTTAGTGATGGCGTATGCAGACAATCTATTAGCCTTGTGTTCAGTCATTATATATGTCCAATTTAATTAATTTGGTTTAATAGCCTGAATTTTGAATTAATGGCGGTGCAGAAATTCTCGAAAGAGAGGTCCAAGATCCCTTAAAGGGGTTAAAGATTCCTGACAAGCGGTAACCCTAACGCCTATGTGAAACTAATGCTTTCTACCTGCAATTATAAATTGATAGATATTGATGTATGATTTAGAATGCATAATGCGAGAAGAAGAAGAAGGTGGCAAGGGTGTAGATGTCTGAAGATGTGGAGTTTAATGTGTCTCTTGGCATGTTATTAAAACAGAGGCAGTTCTCAGAAAGTCAACAATACACATACAAACTTGAATTACCTATCAGCAGCCTTTACTATAAAAATGTAAATTAATACTGAAGTTCTTGCATTAATTTTACAGATTGAGTTTTTCTTCCTTTCACTATAACTTATCAATGAAAATTTTAATGCAGACAGAATTCATTGATTTATGTATGAATCTCTGGCAGGTGTTTTTGCCCTCTCAGTTCTTGCTTCCTACGTCATTCTTTTGTTGTTACTTCCCATAGATTTATGATATACTCACTTGAGTGTTCCTGCCTTCATGCAAATAACACCAGTTAAATCATGTGCAAATATCATCAACAGCAAAGTAACACTTCTTTACATACTGCTGGTTGTTTCTCAAGTATTTACTTCTGATGGAATGTATATTTGGAGGCAGACAACTTTGATAGAACTGATTATTATATTAGGTTGTACAGTAATCTTTAAGAGTTAAACAATTATTAAATTAGTGTCTTTGAAGATTGATAAAGGCATGATAAAGGTGAGTTTTAGCTGGTTTTCCTGTCATTAGTGATTAAGCTAGGAGCAATTGTGGCTGTCACGATTAGCAGCATTCCACAGACAAGTGGAGGCGGTTGCAATGTACAGGATTGGTCAGTCAGAATATGTGGCAAAGACAAGCCAAACTAGCCAATTGTGTTTCAGAGGTAATGGCCAAATCATGCTTGAATGTCGAAGTTTTTGAAATCCATACTAAACTAAATCTAAAACTAAATCATACTAAACTAATCTTTATATATCTATACAGTACATCATGCAAAATGTTATTTTCCCAATTTTCAATGTTACAACATCATTTTTTTTAGCGATTTGGTGATGGTGTCTGCCTGATTAATGCCCAAAATTATAATATTTGAAGGCGATTTCTCAAATATTGTTCTTCAAAGAGCTGTATGTTTAAACTCTTGTAAAATTTTGGATATTATTGATTCTTTGACTATTTTATAGCTCTCATTGTACTGTTCAACCCTGTATTAGTAACTAAATATCAATTCTTCACCACATATATTATTTATTTTTTGTTTTTTAATATACTGGGAAATTAAATAATTAAACTATAAGTCAATATGTTAAATGGTGTAACAGTCCGGTATATTTCAGTCTCTTTTGCTTTCGTTATATTTAAATTTCATGTGCAGTACGCCAGTTTCATTTTTTAGACCTAAACAATATTGTCCCATGCTATAATACTTCTGGCCTATATTATGTTTCGTGTACATACAATGTTACTGTATGCGCAACATTTTCTTCCCTGTAGTTGTAAATTGATTCCAAGACCAGCCGTAGTGTAAAAAAAAAAAAAAAAAATTACTTACTTACATTGTTGTTCCTACAGGATTATTGCACACATCAAATCAAGGTTTGGTACATCCAGGATCGACAAGGAGCGGTCTGAAATTAGGTAGTCAGACGAGGCAGAATTTTGTATCTACTGTTCAAAAATCAAGATATCCTCCCGGAAAGAATAACAGTTTACGAGCATTGGAGAAAAAGCACTCCAACAGGTAAATATAATGTCACTCTCCTTTTCTACATTATGCAATTCTTTATCCTTCCAAGTCAGCACAGCTAAACCACATATAAGAATGGTCGTCTGTCCCCTCTTCCCTCTTCACAAAAACACATCGATATAGAGTAGTAAATTTCTGAAATTCATGGCTTCCTTTATGAACAGAAACTCATATGGGGGATGGTATTTGTGTCTGCACTGATTATTTTGATATCTTCTTTATGATTTGATTTAATTTTTTAGTATTTTGTATTGTGTAATGAAATTTACCTCAGTGATTTAGTTCTGAAAAGCATGTAGTGTAAAGTCAGTAGGAATGTGAATATAACTTGGAACAGCCCTTTTTGATGTTTTTGTGGATGTGTCGCATGAATCTGAAGCAAGCATGTATGTGCGTGTTACTGTCATCCCTCCCTTTGTTAAGGTAAGGCCTGTACATTTTTTTTTAGAATCTAGTTTTTGTACCTTGTACTACCAAATTTCGGAACATATTTTAAGAAAATTAACATCAGTTGTTTTGTGTGCATATTCACAGTGAAAAGTTACATTTTAATCAATGTTGTAGTATTGTTTTCATGATGGTTGTTGTATTTGCTGTTTTTTGTTTTGTATGTTGGTTGTTGTGGTTATTTCATGTGTATTGTATTTTTTGCCAATGGCAATAGTAATAATTAGACCCCTATATAATGCTATTTGTTAATCTGTTCAGGTATGGCAACATTGTGATTCTGTACTGTCTCTGGAAAAATCTCAAAATCATTAGAAGATCAATTAAATTTAAAGAATCATATAATTATAAGTTAACAATTTCCAATGAGGCAAAAATCAAAACAATTCTGCTGTATTTATAAAATTTACTTGCAAATTTTGAGATTGATTACTAGCCAATAGTGTAAAAGAAAGTTAGTCCCTTATTTATTACCAAATGTAGGGAACTATTATTGTGCTAGGAGCCGTCATGCTAAGCCTGATTGTTATCACGTAGTAGGGCAGGCTCGTAGGTTTTTATGGTTCGGGCAAACCCCCCTCCCCCTGGAATTTCCCGAACGAGTCCTCAAACCCCTATCAAACTAATGCCCTGCAGACCCACCGAGACTCAGATGGAATGTTTTGCTGCAGACCTTTCTAAAACATAGCTGCTTTTATAGCATTATTTAGACCCCAGAACACAAAAATCCCCTGGCTTTGGGGGATTCGCCGACACCACCAGGTCTTTAACCCTGGGCCTCCCGCCAAGAGAACTCCCTCGTGTAAGAACCTGGCTACGGGCCTGAGGGCGATCAGTTCCTTCCCATGCCACCTTTTAAAAACCAAGTATATTTCAACCACATAGTCTACTGAGAGCCACTAAGACTTAGATCACTATTAAAGCCCTGTCTAGTCCATCAAATTTTATTTGACAAAAGCATGTAAGTTAACATGCCTAAATATGGTCATATGACATCACATGAGCAAATATAGGCATATAATGAATACTGTATACTGTAAAATCTTGAAAAGAAGCCCAATGGGCTTAATCTCGAGAAGAAACCCAGCTTTCAATTGAAACCCCCTCTTTAGTTTGTAGAAAGTAGCCTGGAAAAGAAGCCCAACTCGAAAGGAAGCCCATGGGCTTCTTTTTAAGATAGCATGGGCTTCTTTTCGAGATTGTACAGTATATAACCTGAACACAAATTTCAAAGAAACAAAATGAAATCAAAATACTCTTGGTTTATACAGTAGCTTAAAGTGATTTAATGCCATGGTACAGACTAATTTTATAGTAGTAATTCCAAAATTTTTAAATTCATTTTGAAAAGCAGCCCCTACAAAAGTAGACTTGAAAAGAAGCCCATTTCGAGAAGAAGTCCATCCCGAAAAGAAGCCCATACAAAGTTTGCAAAAAAAGAGGCCTATTGCTTCTCTTCTATTTCAAGAACATTGATAATATGGGCAGAGTTTAATATTACTGTTATTCAAAGAATCTAATTTAATCGAAGGTAATAACTTACTATAATATACCTGTACCAAGAAGTTCAAAAGTAAACAGAAAAAAAAAATTAGAAAAAAAGATTTTGATTATCAATTCATGATTGGTTATCTACTTAAGGCAAATATTACAGAAGCAATTAGTATTGAAATGATAATAAATTAAAAACTCATTATTATTAATTGCTGGCCTAATTAATGAGTTCTACATAGTACCTGTTTATTACCATGTTATTCACTACATAGATCATGTAAACTGTACTTTCCTTATCAACAGAAATAGGTATGTTGCATATTAATGTATTAGCTCAAGAGAGACCATCTAAAGTACACAGAAAAAAAAAAACATTAGAAAAAAAATGGATTTTGATTATCAGTACAAAGCATGATTGGTTACCTACTTGAGGCAAATATTACAGAAGCAATTAGTATTGAAATGGTAATAAATTAAAAAATCATTGATATGAATTTTTGGCCTAATTAATGAGTCGTACATGATACTATAGTGGATACAGTACTTGTTTATTACCATGTATAATATTTACTACATAGATCAAACCTGTACTTTGCTTATCAACAGAAATAGGTATAGGAATTGTGTTGTATTGTAACTAACAAGAGCAATGAAAACAAAGACTTTGGACTGATATTAAGCAGAAATAAATATAACCGGTTGTCATCAGTAGCAGTGCCAGTGTAGGGGGCTTAAGACCCTATCTTGGAGGCCAAGCCCCCTTCAAATAGGCCACGGTGCATCAGACCAAAATAAGAAAGGATACATTTTCTTTTTAAATTTTTTTAGCATAATGCAATCAGAGAGGTCCCAGAGCAGCTTACAAATAGCCAAAATTTGCCTTTTTTTTTTTCAAAGGGCTTTTGTCCATTAAGCCTTCGCTTTTGCATACCACTGGCATTCATTCAAAGTTACTGTTAAATAGCTTCATCTGATCTCCTTCCCTTGAATAGACCCTCCCCTCCCCTTGAATACTTCAATTCAGGTTTTGGCTGCCAATGTATTCTGTACTAAACACAATGAACACCCTGACATATGTACATCCTAGAGCCATCATTTGAGCTCATCAATTCCGATTGAAAGACCCATCCCCCCCCCCCTCCAGCTACACTTTAACCTAAAATCATAGGTTTCAACATTTTGAAGATTTTGCAACTTGATTGGTACAACATGACTATACAATTTTTAACTTAAATGTTTCTTTCATATTTGATAATATTTTTCTTTGGGTTCTATTTATTTATGTATTTATTTATTTTTTAAATTTTATTTATCTTTTTTATTTATTTATGTAAATTTTTTTTGGGGTTTATTTATTTATGTATTTAATTATATTTTAAAATTTTTTTTTTTTTTTTCATTTATTTATGTAAGCATTTTTATTTATGTAAACATTTTTTATTTATTTATTTATTTATTTTATTTATTTATCAGTTTTGTGACTATATGGTCAAACCAGTGTCTCAATGCATTTAAAATTTAAAAAAATAAAAATGGGTCGTGAAGGAAAAGTCATCAAAATTATTATTACCATATAAAAAAATCTTTATGGTTACCAAGGAAACTGTACACAATCCGAGAACAAAACTAGAGCATGATAATCAAACACCAGTGCGTCAATGATAATGTATTGCGGAACAATTAGTCATTGTAATGGTGAGTAAGTGAGTTAAAATGCTCAATACAGATGCCACACTTGGTGTTTAATTACACCTATTAGAGTTGTTAACCTGTAAATGAGGGAAAACTCTTTTGGTGCTGGCAAAGAAAATTGCACATTAATCAATTTTTTAAAATCTTTCAAAATATTATTAAATTTAAACTCAATTTAGCGCATGTTGTAGAATTGTTACAAAATTGCCGTAGCAGATATAATGTTATTATATTGTTTGCATGATACATTAATTTTTTAAGGAATTGCTTCATCATAGCTCCAGTAGTGTTTATTCATTCTTTCATTCAGTATATTATTTCGGAAATGATTTCCATACAAAAATTACAATGGGTGATGCCTTATTCTTTAAATTGACAATAGCCATTCATCTGGTTTGTCCATTTGTAATACCATTCCTTCCATCTATTTAACCATGTTTTATCTTCCTTAAATTATGTTGCTTAAGTGCTCATAATCAATAATTAATTCATTTTTTCATTAATTCATTCATTCATTCATAAAAAATTCGTCCAAAACTCAATACATGTGATTCTAAACATTGATTAATTGATTGAATCCAATATTGAAACTCAAAATTTAGTCTGAAATTGTTTCTAAACTTGTTGTTTGCTGCCCTCTGTTGCGAGTATCCATCACTGTTCAATGAGTGCAGTGTATTTTTGTTAATTGCAAGATTATTGATTGATCTACCTGTCCCCACACAAATTAATCATTCTTTAAAAGGAGTTATAGATGGAAATGAAATGACTGCGTGTAGTAGTGTTGTGGGAAGATTGAAATGAGTTTGTTGTTGTGATCAATCTCACATCAAGATGTAGCATGGATGGTAATTTCAGCCATTCACATTTTGCTTCTCTCTCCTTTGATCATCAATGCGAGTCTCATTTACCATAGCATTGTGAGTGAACCTAATAGAGATATTTGTTGAGTACTGTGGATAGCGCTTCTCCGGATAGCTCAACATGTGGTGAAATGATTTCAAATTCATTCCTTCAGAAGGATGCAGTTAAGGTGTGCTGCAAATGTTAATATTGGTCAATATTACATTAGGTTCTAGTTATGCAATGGGAAGTATTATATTCACGTCAGTTTGTTGAGTTTGGTGTTAGCTGTTTTGGACTTTTGTAAAAATAAATGGAATCAAGAAAGACTTTTTCACAATAGTTCTATGAAATTGGTTTGGGGCTATACAAGTCTTTTTTTCAAGAACCATTTGCTAGCTACTGGAATAATTATGGATTGATAAATTAGCAGCCTTCAAGCATCTCTCGATTCTACTACATTATTAACCTGAACCAGCACTGCTTTCTCTGCTGGGGCCTAATTAGCGCAATCACCA